ATATATATATATATATATATATATATGCGTGCATCATAGCAATTGCAAGATACAAGGCAGGGAGAGGTCTTAAGGTCCGCGTCTCGCTACTAGTACCACAGAACATGGTCGAGCAGAACGAGTTGCAGTCTGTCAAGGTGTCTGGCCCTTGCGACAATACACCATTAGAACGCCAGGGAATTTTCCTTGAACAAAATATTAGTACAGGCATGTGTAGTAGCACCCCAGTGTGTACTGAATATTCACTAGTGCCGGCTGTGGGTCTGGTTTTAGTGTCTCACCTTTGCACGGTTGGCGCTGTCCTCATGGATACCGAGCTTGAGGTTCTTGGAGAACTGTTCGTAGAACTTGGTGTAGTTCTCCTTCTTCTCCTCGATCTCTGCGAACATCTCGAGGCACTTCTTCACGAGGTTTTTGCGGATGACCTTAAGAATCTTGTTCTGCTGCAGGCTTTCTCTGGAAATGTTGAGAGGGAGATCCTCAGAATCGACGACACCCTTCACGAAGTTCAACCACTCAGGGATGATATCCTCGCAGTCGTCCATGATGAAGACGCGACGCACATACAGCTTGATGTTGTTGCGTTTCTTGCGAGTCTCGAAAAGGTCGAAGGGAGCGCGTTTGGGGACGAAGAGGAGAGCCTTGAACTCCAGCTGCCCCTCAACGCTGAAATGCTTCACAGCCAAGTGCTCCTCCCAGTCATTGGAGAGAGACTTGTAGAAGGAAGCGTATTCCTCCTCAGTCACCTCCTCCGGCTTGCGCATCCAGAGGGGCTTCTGCTTGTTCAGCTGCTCCCACTCGCGTGTGACCTCCTTGACCTTCTTTGTCTTTTTCGTCTTTTCCTTCTTCTCCTCCTCCCCTTCCTTCTTCTCCTCCGCCTCCTCACCTTCCTTCTCTCCCTCCTTCTTCTCTTCCGCCTTCTCATCGGCCTTCTTCTCCTCTTCGTCCTCGCTCTCCGTTACCTCGCGCTCATGGGTCTTCTCCACTGCCAGCTCGATGGGGAAAGAGATGAACTCAGAGTGCTTCTTCACCAAGTCCTTCAGGCGGCGCTCCTCAAGATATTCGCCTTGGTCCTCCTTGAGGTGGAGGATGATGCGAGTACCACGGCCGAGGGGTTCGTATTTGTCATCCTTCTGAACAGTGAAAGATCCTCCAGCGGCGGATTCCCACACGTACTGCTCGTCATCGTTGTGCTTTGAGACGACGGTGACGCTGTCAGCTACGAGGTAAGCGGAGTAGAACCCAACACCGAACTGTCCAATCATAGAGATGTCACCTCCAGCCTGGAGCGCCTCCATGAATGCCTTGGTGCCTGAACGCGCAATGGTACCCAGGTTGTTCACCAGCTCGGCCTTTGTCATACCGATACCACTGTCTTCAATCGTTAAGGTGTTGTTCGCCTTGTCAGGAATTAAACGGATGAACAACTCCGGCTTCGTCTTGAGCTTATCGGCATCGGTGATTGCCTCATAGCGGATCTTGTCCAGTGCGTCAGAAGCATTCGAAATCAGTTCTCTCAGGAAGATTTCCTTGTTGCTGTAGAAGGTGTTGATGATCAAACCTGCATAAAAAGGCGGAAACCAACACACAAAGTGTAGGAGCATGGGGCCACAAATCCAAAAAGGAAGGGGGGGCAGCTAAATCCCCTTCCCTGCATTCCTTCCTTAAGAACATGAAGACGTATTGCAAGACAGGTAGCAGTCGAGGGCACATCATCGAGAAAAAAGCAGAAGTGTAGCCAAAGAAGACAACTTGTACACGTGGGGACAATCCTATCTACAGCACTACTTCGACAGGCCACCAAAAAGCTGGCCACTGGGCTGCTTTTGGAAGAGAAAATTCACAAAATATAAGGAAACACACTGCTAAGGCTCACTCATCAACTGCTGAATGTCAGCATTGAAGGCGAAGGTTTCCTTGTTCTCCATTTTCGCGACACGCAAGAGCTGGTGCTGCGGGGAAGCGAAGCGAAGTGAATGTGAGTAGGGCGTTTGAATACAGCTTCTGGGGCCTGCGCCACGAGGAGCCGTTAACAAAGTAAAGCGCGCGGTGAAAATGCACAAAAGTGATGAAGAGCTAAGACACAGATGGCGCAAGTGCGGTGGGGTGCACCTCTTGGGGTGTAGATGATTGGCTGCTGCATCGCATCTGCTCAGCAGCACCCCTCCCTGCACAGACGGCAGCCCCACCACACTCTAACCTAGCCTTTGCTTGAATTAATACGGTTTATGCGCGTTTTCTTGTATCAGAATGATGTGTAATTGACTACTGTTTATTTTCAATCATAAAAAGCACATTCTTAGGCCCAGAGGGCTTCTGGTTTCTTCTGTGGAAGAAGACGCAGCACACAAAACTTTGGACAGGGGATGTGCAACAGTGGCCAGCAACACGAGACGCGGTAATCTCCTAATATAAAACTAGTAGAAATGCCCGTCTTCTTGTTAGTAAAGCTTATTAGTAAAGCCTTAAAGCCTCCCTGCTGTTTCCGTTGCTGATTAGTTGATAGTTTCTTGCGTCGTCGTTGTATAGGCAACCGTGTGGAGCAGTGTGTCGCTTTTTCCGATAGTAGCGGGGATCAATTATGCTGTTTCGACTGCATTCTATCGACCATAACTTATGTTCATTTGCATTTTATGGCCGGAGGTGGGTGCAACGGCAGCCCGTTGTCATCTTTAAGACTGTATTGAGCTGCATTGCATACATGCTATGAGTTCGTTGCAGCATCTGTCTTCGCTTCACTGTCTCGGCGCTTGCTGAGCACAGCGGCGAAAGCATTTGGACCTAGCTGGGGGAGAGAAGGGGGCTTGGCATGGTCTGCATTGCAACTGGTTGCAACAGAGGTTGCTGGACTGCCCCGCATGCAGGCCCAAGCAGGGCTTTTTTGCTTGAGCGCTATAACTGTACACAGTTGTTGGATACATGGACCGCCGACACGCATGTGCCGACGAACAGATCAAAAAGTCCCACAGTTTGTAACGCAACTCTTCCAGCTGGAGCATGGCTCAGAAATAAGCTCTGTGCGTATGAAAACTGCCTGGAGGGGAATATGCGATGTACGTTTAAGGAAGTCTCCAGACTGTATTCGCCCTAGGATTGAACAGAGAATACCATACAACATTCCGTGACCATTACTCTTAAGCTATGGGGCAGCAGCTGGGAGCTAGTCGCATGCAACGAAAGATATATGTGGAGTGCGATAACTGCAGCGAAAAAGGGACAGTTCTTCACACAGGCCGGTCGTGACCCTTTTGTACAGGTCGGAACCTACCCGACAAGCATTTCGCCTGTCATAGGGATTATTTTCCGATCTAGAAGCCACTAATATATTTCCTGTCCTGTAATGTTGCTATTTTACTTAATGCACCATACTCTAAAATTAAAAATCCTACTTTAGGAAATATGTTTTCAACAGCTTTACTTGCCCAGAGGAAATTCCAACACTTTTCCCGGAGTCAGCTAGCTCCGAATTTGATAAGCATCCAGTTTCAGCAGTCTAAGGTTCTCTGTGTGTCGCTCGCCACGCACTGCAGCCACAGGGCTGGTCCAAACCACTGCTCGTTAAGTAGAGCAAGCGGAGGAGCCGCTCCAGGTCTCCCACCGGGCGGACTGAACCCTAAGCAGATAAAAACGTCACAACGAACGTGTTGAGGAACGGGATGCCCCACAGCCCCCTGCCTCACGAGTTCTGTGTTTCGTAGTGTTTGGGAAACGTTGAGGGACTGTAGAAGCGGCAGGTTCTCGTAAATTAGTCTTAGCAGTATTGCAGCGAAGTAGCGATAGCTAAGGAGCGACGATGAAGAGCAGCGTGTTCTCTCCTTCTGCACCCCAGTAGATGCATGGAACCTTTACAATAAACAATTGCATGATTCTGTTGCATCACCTGCGTTGCTGTGCAGCGCAGGTACCAGCCGTGCGTGCATCTGTTGACCCAATGAACATGGAATAAGCCCGCCAAACTTGCTAAAGGACTGTGCATTTTCTCACGAGCATTCCCTTGATAGGTTATTCACTTCCCGAAGGGAGGACACTTGGAAGTTCTATTTTTCGTGTGCAGCCAGCTTGAGCAAACTGCTAAATGTATCAGCGTGGGAGGAGAGACCGCAAGGAAGTCCGGAAATGGTTAATCCTTTCTTGTATCTTTTGGGATTTAAAGCACCCAATCGTCTGCAGCTTCTTCAAGATGTAAAGCACTCTGCGCACCACTGCAATTCACCGCAATCCTTGCCCACTCCACATCAAACAAATGCAATGAAGTGCCACCAAGCAACTCGAATAACCCGTCTCTGATCCATTCCAGAACTGGCCATAGTTGCCCCTCTGTCATCTTTTCCCTACGAACGTGAACGGTGATGCACCGTCCACCTGAAAAAACTTCCCGGAATCGGCGTACACATAGTTAACCAAGTGGCGGTGGATACAAGGGAGAGATGGTAAGTAAACTCATGAAAAAATTAAATGCTGAGCCTCATATGAAATCTGCAACCCACGGAATGTATGCGCATCTCAAGAAACCCGACTCAGGTCTGTGCAATTGTTCCCCTACCTTTTTCAGGCAGCGAATTCTCCACAGATTTCAGCATGAGGCTGCCTTCTGTCTAGCCTTTCTTTGAGTCCACAGTGTAAAGCATTCATTAAAATGTTCTCCCCCACCCCGTAGGCCGTGGGCGGATCTCATGAAGAATTACGATATGGGTGGAGTGTTAGCACCCCTCTGCACCTGCCTTGGACGCTCCATCTGCAACAATACACCAATCTTCATCTTCTTCTGCTTCGCATTCCTCAAGCTCAGTCCCACCCTTGGAGCGACTGTGTAGTGATGCAGCAGCTTCCTCAGCATCGCCGTTGCTTCCCCCCTTAGGAGACGCCTTCAACAGCGGACTGCCCGGGAAGCCATCGGTGAATTCTTCCATTTCATAGCAGGCGGGCTCAGGGCCTGAAAGTTCACAAGTCAACGATGGTTCATCAACATCCACACGACGTCCCACATGTCCCTCACTTGCAGGCGAATGCCTGCGAGGCCATTCGTTTGCATCTTCGAGTTCGAAGCCTTCGCTTGCAGGGGTGTTGACCGCTTGTTCGCTTTCGTAGCCTTCTGAGCCTTCAGCTGCCTCTCTGTTTGAGCGAAAGGCGTTATATAGTTTTCCCTCCAACTCCAAAGGTGCAAATAGGCTCTTGATATCGCCGCCAGCAACCCAGGTTTGTGCAAGATGATCTTCTTCGCCGTGTGTGTTTGTCTGTTTGCCAAGAAAATCCCCATCTTCGCTGTCAGTCTCTTCAGAGTCATATTCTGATTCTGTTTCGCTAGCAGACTGCCTTCCACCGGACGATAATAACAAATCGGCATGATAATGCTCTTTACTTTCGCCGTTATAGGTTGTGGCGCCGTAGGCCGCGTCATTATCTTCGTCGAAGCTGTCTACTGGGGTGTTCTCTCTCTTGGGGGATTTCCGTTTTCGTGCCTCCCTGAATTGTTCCCGTCTCATCAGCAAAAATTCCGCGAAACTGTCTTCGCCCGAGCAGCTGAAATTCTTCATACAGACAGGAAAACGCGCAGGTAGGTGCTCTCCATCTACTGACTCCGGTCGGGCAGATACTCGCCCTGTCCAATGTCTGCTGATCCTTTTGTACACATTGCCAAAACGCAGGTAAACCAAAATGAGAACAACTTCGACCAAAAGAGCCCAAATTGCGGCTTGTAGCAACAGCGAAGGCAATGCCTGCCAAACCTTCTTCCAAGGTCTGTGGGCAACCGGACCCCAGTCTACGTAAACGAACCATAGCAGGTCTAGTGCTGCATATATAACCGCTAGTAAGCTATTTACATAGGCGCAAGCGAGGTAGCTGGCCGCCCTCACGCCTGTAACAACTAAAGAGAAGGGCGCACGAACCAGTTGCTCCAGGAAAGCCGCCTGATTGAACATAAGCCGACCAATAGCGCTTTCCGTGAAGTCCTTTCCGGCCAAGAGGCAGCTGAAGGCTGAGAAGAAAATCATCAGCAGAGCGGCGGAAACACACAACGCGAGAGCGCCCAACACTAACGCACCCACGCCGCCCAACGTATTCAACAAGACATCGTTCAGCCAACATTGGAAAGTCTGTCGACTTCCTCTTCGGCGTTGGCGTGAGTACGAGTTGAATGACCAATAGCACTTGCCCCTTCTTTGGGGCCCCCACTGCCGAGCCATGTAGGCGGTCCGCTGCCGCCGAGCCCACTTTTGTTCCGCCTGCCTGGAGATATGCCGCTCTCCAAGGAGGGGAGCCCGCTCACAGTTTAAATTGCAACTTTCCATGATTCAACAGGGCGAAAGGTATCCGCACACCGGCGTCGCCTTTCTTGAGCTGCTGCCGCTGCTCTGCGGAGCCGGTAAGAAGCAGTCGATTCAAACAAACCGACGGGAGCAAAGTGCGAGGCATTCATCGGCTTTTGTCTGCCTTTTTGAATGTGATGTTTTGCAATAAACGAATACTCAATCAACAACGAACAAGCAAACGGCTAGCACGCCGCAGGACCCCCGACCGACCGGCGGCTGATGAGCCCAGTAACAAACGGGGGGCTCGCGAGAGGGTCCAATGGTCACCGCAACTGCACCGTGTCGTTAGTTTCCCTGAGATTCAATATTTAATTGAATTGTAAATTCGATGGTTTTCGATGTGTCCATGGAAAATCGAAAACGAAAAGAATGTGGTTCGCGCGGCTTCTGCTAGATGTGCCGAGGAACGCGGTCAGCCCACCAGCTGTTGGCGGAGCTCCTTGTGTTGTCTGGTGGGACTTCAGATCTTACAGTTTGCTAAAGCTTTCACGAGTCTGTCTGTTAATTATTGCCCGATTAGCCCGAGCAGCATTGTGTACGACGGGACGGATTGCCGCCATATCGTTGATTACGACGTCGCTCGCTACCTGCCAGCCAAAGCTACAAAAACCCACTTATAGAAAATATGGGGATCATCTGTCATTGACTGCTGAAGATTGAAGATTGAAGAATATTGACAGAGTACTCATGGGCTGGAGCAGTCACATGAAAGCCCATTTCGAAGCTAGATGCTCCACGCCGGCTCAATTTAGTCCATCCGTAGCGTGAGAACACGATAGAGGCGTCACTCGCTTTGATTGACCCAAGCAGCTCTACGTAGATAGGGGTAGCAGAAGCGGCACACCTAGCTGCAGTGTAGCTCTGCCTGCTCTCGACTAGATCTGTCAGTCAACCCACACAGTGCAGAGAGAATGGATATGGTTCCCAACAGTCTTAGGCTTTGAGGAATTATCTGTTGAATATGGATTTCTTGCGAAGGCAAGAGCGGGCCAATCGGCTCGTCCGAAGACACCGGAAAGCATCTGTTTTTCCCCAGTGCATGAAAGCAAAGTAACAACTGGGGCTGAACTGCGCACAGCCAAATAATACACCACCGCCCACGTTTAAAAACGCGTGCACGAACTGAGGCAACAAGGGGAGGGAGCCCAATGCAAAACAGAAGAGCTGCATCAAATGCATGGACCCCAGGGGCCCGGCCCCAGGGTCCCCCCTGAAGCAAAAACAGGCGAGACCGTCGTGGGCAGATCCCTGTGATGGCGACGCACAGATGCCAGGATTAACACAATGGCCCGAACCAACAAGTATGGACGCAGCTTGAATTGCATCAATGCATTTCCTGCAGAACTGAGCCGGGTTTAAGAGGCATCGGTCTGCTGGGCAGATGCATGCACTGCAGCATCGAAGGCGATGTCATTATACTCCATGCTACGGCGGTGGGAACGCACGACGCCGGACGGAATAAACGAAAGTAATAATTGGCAGACATGATTATCTACAGCCTCTTGAGGCTAGGGGCGGCTTTGTAGGGGGGTCAATCTATCTGTCTGTCCCGCAAACCATCAGCACCATTTCCCCTTAAAAAAGGTTCGTCGGCGAACTAGAGTGCGGTGATCATGCCAGACAGCCGTTGCCAATGCACGCACGCAGACCTGAGCAATATGGGACTTCCGATCAACACAAACTCAAATACATATCCCCTCTGCCTGGGCTTGGCCAGCAGGATGGAGAGGAAACAAACAAAGGCATGGAGCAGGCAACGAGACTACTTTCAACAATGTATGCTGAGGGCCCTACGGCAGACATTTCACGTTCAAAGAATCCGTGCAGAATAAATACCAACAATTATTAAGACTTTGGCTCCGGATCGACGGCGCGACCTGTCGGCGGCATCAGCTTCACTCCTTCAATACGAATGAAAACTCTTTGAATGCCTCTGTCAACGTCAACATTGAAGGAAGCACAGATGCGCTGTTTAAACAACTCCGTTTTCGCGGTAAACGTGCCTCCCGCATACGCCAACAAAAACGCCGTCGACGCCTCGGAATTGTAAAAGGTTATGCAGCAATGAGACCCCCGAGGAGGAAACACTGAAACGCGTTCAATCCCGCGTATGCCCATCTTGTTCGAAAGAACCGATTTCAGCTGAGAGAAGCAAACAAAAAATAATCGCAATAATGAGAAGTACCTGCGAAGCTCAACCGCACTGCAAGCAACTGCCTACTACGTGCACAGACGAACCTATTTAGGACGGAATAAAAGTTGCACACAGTGCAAAAAAACCAAATAGCACCACAATCCGACAACTGAAACAACATATGTTAACGAGTGTTTGCGCTCGATCTGCCATTTGGACCCAAATATTCAGTTGCAACGAACTGGATCGCATCGGCAGAATTATGGGAATAGTAAGAGACGGAAATACACACGACATGCCACCGCTCATTAACTGTCTGGCTGGCTGCTGCAGGCTCACTCTGTTCTCTGCTTCCTCCTTGTCTCTGTATTCCTGGGCACGGGCTGCTCTGGGGATCCAGGAGACGAAGACTGCGCGTTCGAATGCATCGGGGGGAACTCCTTGCGAAGCAGGGAGAGCCAGAATGCCTTTGGAAGCGAGAGGGCTGATACTGAGGAGGTCGTCTCGCCTGTCCTGCAGGCATTTCTGTTCGTACTGCTGCTGCTGGAGAACCCCTTGCAGCTGAAAGGAAGCCGATTGGGCGGCAGCAGCAGAAGTCAAGCCGTTCCCGGCGAGAAATTGAGAAGTGTCTGGGTCTGCGGAGGAGGCATTCGCGCCTCCTTGTCGAGCGGATTTCTTCTTCTTGCGACTCCGCCGCTGGCGCTGCGCCGGGTTCTGCAAAAGCGCAGTCCACGAAGCGGCGTCTGTGACCATCTGCTGCGGACTCCTTGTTGGGGAGTCTGCCAGCAGCCCCGTCGCGAGCTGCGCCACAGCTGCCTCCATGCAATCAGCGCTTGTGGAGATGTCGCCGCGAGAGGGGAGGGAAGCAGCCGTCCCCCGGGTCTTTCCCGAGAGAGAAACCGCTCTGTCGTGCCCTAAGGCGATGGCTGACTTCAGCACTAGCGACAGACTGTTAAGAGGTGGAGTCCTCTTTGCTGTCGCGCGGGGGTCTGCTAGCTCTTGCAGGGACCCCACGTGCATTGCATTCCTTCCTGTCTGCAGGCGCAGGGGGGCCTCCGGCCCCTTGGGAACTCCCAATGATAAATCTCCATCGTATAATAGCGCCTGCCCGCCAACAACCTGCGGAGAAGATGGAGCAGCAACAGCAGCAGCAGCAGCTGCTGCTGCTCCTCCCCCTCCTTCAGGTGCATTGATCGCCAAAAACATCTCCGATTCAATCAAAAAGTACAGACGACGAGCAACCAACAGCCAGGGACGCGAGTCGACTGCGACATTCTTCCTCGGTCCTTCAACTGCGGAGTCTGCGGGCTGCTCATCCGTCAAGGGTTTCGGGATAAGTGTAAGAAAGTGGGCGAAGCGGCCCACCTTGGGGGCCTGTGGGGGCCTTGCCCCCTCCCTGCCTGCCTCACTCGAAACATCGGTATCGCAGGAGGAGATGCCAGGTGCAACCAGCGTACCTCTTAGCGCACAAGACAACCGGCCAGCACCCGCTACACACGCCTGCACGCACTCCACAGTGACGGCGAAGTCGCCTATGCAGGCCTTGAGAGCTGTGAGCTGTCTCAGCGCATCTGCGTGTCCCGAGCCCTGATCAAACAGGGGATGTTCAAGAGGCCGGCCCCCAAAAAGCTGCGGGTCTAGCCACTGCTTCCTCGTGCACCAGGGGGAGTGCATCGAGATGACGACGTCCGACAGCTGCAGTGTATGGAGACCTCGACCTGACGACGCGTACAGCGGCACCTGCCATGTGGGACTTGTGTTGAAAACCGAGTCGTACATTATACTGACAAACGACTGCACCTCCCCCTGCAACTTCTGAATCGACAAAGTCCCACCATCCACCTGCAGCAAATTGTTTCCTGTTTTGTTTTCCAAGGTATCGGCCCGAGGTACAGAGACAATCCCCTCGCGTCCCCCTTCTGCGGAAAAGCTCATTGAGGGGGCTGAGGCTGCTGAGTCTACGGGAGAAGGCGGGTCGAACGCTGACTGATGACTTTTTGTTTTCCTTCCAGTCGTCTTGTCGCGCATAGTTTGCGTGGGAGGAGATAAAGTCGCCGACCTTCTTTTCCCTAAGTCATCAGGGGCTTGCGGCGAAGGCGAATGGACACAGAGCCCAGCTGGTATGCTGGAGGCCGCCGCCCCCCCTGCAGCAGGTCCGCCGCCCCCCACTCCTATTGCCGAGCGAGCAGTGAACTCTTGAATCAGCAGCTCCTGCTCCGCAGCAGGGCGCGCCTCGAGGCTAGGAGAAACGACAGACAGGTCTACATATTCGTAGCCAGGGGGGGCTTGCAGATCGACGACGGCTGGGGACTTGCGCATGCGCTCCGGCGATTGTCCCTCGACAAGAAAACGAACATAACCTGCCTGTACACCCGATGCGACGAGAGGGGCCACAGCGCCCACTCCGCCCGCACACGGCAGATCGTACGCGACGCTCATGGGCTGCTGCTGGATGGCCGGGCTCGCGGCGGAGCCGGGGAAAGACGGCCGGCTGCTGCTGGAAGCGGCGAGAAAGGAGGAGGCAGCATCTTCTTCTTCTCCTGCAGCCGCTGCGCGCGAAGCATTCGTCGCCTCGGGGGGGGTACACCTGAAGTCCCGATGCTGCTGGCGAGCATTGGTATACGCGTTGGGGTGGAGGGCGGGAAAACCGGTAGTGGCAGTTGCAGTTGCCGTTGCAGCTGTTGCAGTAGCTGCTGTTGTCGCCGTCGTAGAGGCGGGGAAACCGGTAGTGGCAGTTGCAGCAGCAGATGCCGTTGCTGCCGGCCCCCAGGGTCCCCCAAAACTGGCGCCGCCGGCTGCTGGCCCTTGCAGCTGCGCGCCGCCACTTCTTGTTGCCGCCGTGGGCCCACCCCAATGCAGTGCAGCAGCAGCGGTGGAGGCGGGAGGCGGCAGCAGACAAGGCGCTCTGCCTGCTGTGTTGCGGCTGCTGCCGTTCGACAACTGCGCCGCCGACAAACGAAGGGCCAGAGAGTCGGCGGCAGCAACCGGCGCCACGCAAGACCCCTGGCTATCGCAAGCCGTCATAGTGCGGAAAGGGCTGCCGAAAGAGGAGGTCGCCGCGACGCCCGGCTGCTGCGGATGCAGGTGGCCGTCCATTGCCCGTCTTGGGGGACAAGTTCTCACAGCTGCTGCTGAGGCTCCGAACGATGAACAAAAATACTTGAAATCAAAAAGATAAGAACACGTCGCGAACTCGCACAAAGCAGGCTGTCAAGAAGTCTTCGCACACACTTCCAGGCACAACAGCAACATGCAACTGGAAACACACCAATGATTATACGCTTGTGAGTGAATGTGTGTGTGTGTGTGTGCTTTACACATAAGCCGCCCCTGCAACAACCAGCAACAGCAGCCTTTCGGTTCGGGGTTGTGGAGGCGGGGACAAGCCACCTACAGCCAAAAAGAGTTCGGATAAAACGCAGGATCTGTCGAGGGCACACGCCATCCACCATGACCCGATGTGAATGAACAATACCACAGCTCAGCTAAACTGCGAACAACCTTTGTTTGTACAACCCGCGTCGTCTTGGTGTCTGGGCGCGCAAGGAAAGGTACTACTTTTAAGGTCCTTTCCGTCGCTCCCACAACACCGAATTTCACGAAACGAGGAACTGCGTTCGGTGGAAATGATCCTGTTGTTCATTCAGCCTCCCTGTGGGCTGCGGTGTACACACACCCCAATCGACAGCTCCAGAACGGGGGAAGCACACGGCGTGTGAACCCACCCGGAAGTATAATAGGGACAACGAAGCGGCGATGTCCCTCCAGCTACGACTCCTCAATATCATAGAGGATGTGCTCAATCTTTCCGGGGACAGCAGCGGAAGGCAGGAAGCGCCTGACTCTGCAATGTGTATGCACGTACACGCACGACTCTGTGACCGGTCGAAGAAGCTATTAAACGAAAACTTTCTCTGCTGAGCCCTGATAACGGGCCTGGAGCTTCTTCCCGCTATTGCTGGAGCCGGAGAGGAGACTGCGCCAAAACCAGTACTGTTGATGGACTACCATGTGCATAGTTTGCAAATGTAGGTGACAATGAGTAAGACGGTTAATTGTGTGTGGGTGTGTGGGTGTGGTTGGGTATGTGGGTTTGTGTGTATGTCAAGGACTGCTACACAGTGAGAGTAGCTGCCCCAGACGGCCCCAAAATGCACCGACTACACTTCGTTACCACGAAGCAATAGAACTGTATGTATTTACCCCGTGGATGGAAAACCAGCTGCAGTACGGGTAGCCGTCGAGGCCCACTGCTGCAGGATCACTCAGCCCCGCACGAAACCCCCTTCACAAGGGCTGAAGTCCTTTCGCAGTCCAAAGATCCATGTGAGCCAGCAGTGCACATTTCCCTTTGTTGCTCGCCTCGGAGGCTGCCGGAGAAATCCAAAGACTCCGCAGGTTATTCCCTTTCGGAATAAGAAACGCCAATCAATCTGTTGGAGTGGACGGCGAGGAAAGCAATAAATGGCGGACCTTCATGGGTTCTTCGCAAAGATTGGCGGAAGAGCAGCAAATAAATCGTAAACAATCCATTCCATCTGGTGTCGATACACTGCGGGCAAGGAAACAGATGATATGGGCGATCAAACGAAATGCTCCTGTGGTTTATACAGCATAGCCTGGGACTCTGGCGCCTGGGAGCGCCCCCTCGAGGGCCCCGAGCTTGGGGGAGGTCAGCAAGAAAGATACAGAGAGGTCGGAGGCCGCCTTTAGCCGAAAACAAAGAAAACAATGCACCCCACCGGCTCACGGGATAGGGATGCCAGAGGGCGGCGACGGCCAGTGCGCAGCTCCTGCCGTAGGCCAATCCATCTCAATTGAGAATACAAAATATATATTGTGCACGTGCAGATGAAGCGGAAAGAAGAACGTTATAAACACGTGCACGAAAGGCGGCACAGGGATCGACAAATGAACGCCGCCTCCCCTAAGGCTCTCCGGCAGCACGCGCGCTCCAGTCTAAGTAGAGTGCGGGCCTCGTCATGAATATGAGCTCCTTTCAAGCCTTCCCCCCGACAATTCAAATGAACATCCTTTTGCAAAACAGGCAAGGATGCGCCAGGCACACTGATGCCTCCTCTTACCCCGTTTAAGTGCAACACTAGCGCGCACTCTGCCTGCGGCCCCGCTCGGCCAATGGGGGCTGGAGGAACCCTCTGAATAATTGCATGACAATACGAACACAGCTTGGGGAATTTCTACAGTTTTCTGCAAATCAATCGATTTACACTTTCTGAAGGTCCCTAAAGCCCTGCACTAACGAGGCAAACACAAGCCTATAACGCTACGGAACCCCTGCTGCGCCGAAGGTAGCCTCTACCGCGCATGTTGTGCTATGTACCCTTACGAAAATGCATCCTGTTCTTTAATCTTGTTGTGAATTACGACTCAGGTAGGAATCCTGATTTACTCATGAGACTAGCCCTTGCCCGTTTGACCGGGGTCGTCGATTTAGGCGTCACTAGAGGGGTTTTCCCCCTTAGGAGAATGTTCAACATTGGGACCGCCATAAGCTGCAATTGAACCGGAGGAATTCAGAGAAGTTCCTTACTAGTATCTAATAGCCTCCCCTCAGCTCTTTAGCAGTCATTGGCACTCTAACGAGAGCAGTCGAATTTACGCGAGGATCGTTGTAATATAATCTGTGCGATAGCCACGAGTCCGTCTGCAGTGGGCGCATGAACCTTACTTGGCCCTACTTGGCAAACCAAACGAAAGCAGGTAAGCAAGATCTGTAGTGTTAGTATATAGAACCAAGAAGTGTTGTTTGTGTTGTACGGTGGGCTGTCTTGCACCTTGAGGTGCCATTTCAAGCGTTGTAACTCCTGGCGGCCCACGCCCTCTTCTGTAGCTCCGAACAAGTGAGCCGCTGAGAACAGAACGCCTGGAAACCGGGGAGGGAGATTGGGTGCATTTAGGGAACTTTCATCATCAGTTTTTTTGGCTTACTTGCAGCAAGCAATAGCCGAAATATGACCCTGGAGCCCTCCCTACACTTGGTAGCATCGCATGGTTCTCGGGATGCAGGCGCAAAAGACGAACGTCACTTGCACAGCAAGGTGCCCCTCTGCATGGCCGTGAATCCACAGGGACCGGGGATTTCGGCACTCAAAAGTGCGGTGTCCATACGGGATGCCGTACCGAGGGGCGGACCTAATTATTTTGCAACAAACACAATCACATAGTTTGACATTGCAGATGGATGAAAAGTCAAAGAAATTGGAAATGTAAGACTTTGGCAAGCACCCACAGCAGAGCGGGCAAGGCTACCAGGAAAGTACTGGGCCGCCCACGCACTGAGGGGAGCACTGATAGGGACAATGGAAGAGTCAGCCGAACTAGTCGCCCCTCTTCGAGCTAACTCTGCATTTATCTGAGTTATTATTCGTTGACAGGACTTGTCGGAGCCATTTGACTCTGGCTGAGAAGTGAAGCTGGCGTCAGAAGCTACTGCGAGGTGCTGCAATCATCCACTCCAAGGAATAGCAGAGTCTCTGCGTCTACGGTTCGCGAATGCTGCACAGGACCAGCCAGTTGGAAACATTACGGGCTCAAATTGCCACGCCCATTCGGAAGTGAATCATGCTAGCGCTGGAGGGACGCTAACGCTAGACCGGCCCGCCAAGACATAATAGTGACCCAGCGAAAATGCAGGTGAGCCCGACTGGTGGGACCATTCTGACGCGCGTGACGGTAGACGAACGTCGTTAATCGCTCCCAATGTCATATGCATCATGTACAGCTAGAGAATCGGGAGCAGTGCCCCAAGAAGAAAGAAGTAAATAAGCTCCCCTTCCGTGCACTGGGTCTGACGGAGATGGGGGCTAAATGCATGCCCATTGTCATGAGAGCCTACGAAGACCGCAATTTTGCGGAAGTCGGTTTTCTTGTGGCCCGAGGAACCGAACAAGTCGGTATAACTGAGGAAAGACTTCTCAGATGTATGGCAATGAGCTGCTGTCGGAACGGCAATCCCTGGATGCCTGTTTCAGCCCATCAAACTCATGCCTAACGTAGCCCCAAGTTTTGTTCGAAGGCATATGCGAGCCTGCGCTTCTGAGTGACGAACAGGGCCGCATCCAGACGCACTGCCTAGAACAGGCAAGCACCAAGTCACAATTAGTGCGTTTGGGTGCACTCCAACGGAAGCCGGTCTTCGCGGAGAAAAACGACAACAGCTGGCGCATCTGCGTGATCTTAAAACCCTCAAGCGCATTGACCAGCGGTTTAACAGTTTGCAGGGTCCTGCATTATGTTTAGCATTTGACTTCGTCGATGTTTGCGTGAAAGACCCCCGTCCTGCCTGATTGCAGCATCATCGTTGCATAAGTGCAAGGTGGAATAGACGTGGATGTCATTTGGGATGATAAATACAGCAGCCGAAATGCACAGGCATGATAATCACGATTTCTTAGACCTGGTCAATAGGGAACGAATCATTAGTACATGAATGATGAGCTTGTTATCAGCCGGAGTAAGCACGTACTCCTACAGTACCTACGATACGGTCTGCAATTTCCACGCTCGAAACCGTAGTTCATGACAGCACAACATTTGTTCCGTTTGTGCTAGCAACTACGTTTTAGGGTTTGGTGTACAGGTAGGGGAGGTCGAACCAGGAATTCCCGTCGTAGTACGTTACAACTGTATTGGTATTTTGTACAGCATCACAGACCCGGCAATAGATAATAGAAGAATGTGGGTGGAGCCCCCAGAAGCGTCATCAGATTGCTGACGTCATCTCCAATATTGGTACTGGCTGATTTCGAACAGCCATCCTTCTTAACAACCAACGCCAGTAACACAGCAGTTGGAATGGTGCTCTCTCAGCAATCTAACAATTTGAATAGCATCGAAGCGTCGCCTGACCCTTATGTCGTTTCCCATAGAGAGAGCAGACGGGCCCAACACACGAAAAGATCACTATGCAATCTTGAGAGTAGTAAAATAGTCTTGGCATTGCTTACGTGGCACACGCTTCACTGTTCGAACCGATTGTCAATCCCTGACAAACCTGGTGAAGAGTTTTCAATTGTTGGACAATAAAAGTCTTGTTGGTTAGCTTCACCCACTCTAGCAGTTTGGCTTCAAGGTAAAGTATTCCAACTGCACTAACGTCGTGGCCGCTGGCGTAGTCTATCGGCGCCCCATCGGCCAGGTGTTCTGCTACAGCCCATTTGTATGATGATGCGGTGCCCCATCGGCCAGGTGTTCTGCTACAGCCCATTTGTATGATGATTTCCTCTCCTCTTCAAAAATTGCTTGCGTCCTACTCATTTTGACACTTATGCGGGTGCAGTTATTACTACGCTCAAAATTGCAATACAGTAGAAGCACCGCAGCATCGGCTGGAATCTCGTTCGCTATCAGGCGCAGTGGCCATCCCCAACTGTAATTTCCAAAGCCATTTTGAACGGACGCATTCTGCAAAGCGCACGGGCCTCCATTCCAGGCCATGGGGGAGTTAATTAATGGACCCCAGACTCCTGCGGAACCTGCCTGTCCACTGATGGGTCTGGAGGAATATGGTAACGGACTTCATAGTGTACTCATTATCAGTCAGGAACAACGGTGGCATGTGCGTTGTAGTGGATACATTCAGCAATTACGCCTACTTCCCCCACGTTTCAGCACAGGTAGTACCCACACAATGCATTAATCAAGTTTCGAAGGTGCACGGTCGACAGAAATGTAGTACCACTGACAAGGATCCGCAGAAGTTAGCTCTTTCCTGTACAAATGCATGGAGCAGCATAAAGTAAATCAGAGCATGACTACTACAAGCCTTCAGGCAGCAGACGGCCCAACCGAATGCACCATACTCATGCTGTTTCAGCCGCCTCTGTATCCAGAGGAATTTTTTATCAGTCTCTTGCTTACTTCTCTTGCGTTGAGTGTTTTTTCAGAACAACAAAACACTCTTCCACCCGTTGGTTTCCAGCATCGCCAGGGAACACTGAGGACGCGGCTTGTCGACGCGACGGTGAACGCGGCTGTCGCGAGCCAGTGCCATACGCCAACAGCCTCAGAACTCCCCACCTTCGGCAGCAGAGAGGGAACGTATGAAGAAACCAGAGGAATTCCATGCTAGCAACTAGAATAAACGATCTTCGACAGCTATCCCCAACTGAGGAAATTCGTTTCTGGTAGATTTCCACTTCCCCTATAGCTCGCCACAAGAGGAAAAAACCAAAGACGTTCGCCAGGCGGTAATTGGGTCATTTTGTTGTTCGTTATCGGGTGAATCGGTTGGCCCACATCGCTGAATTACCCGGGAGAAGAATTGTATCTTAAATAATCCCGAAAATAATTCGTATGTGCCAAAGAAAGCGAGAATACTGCATTATATAGATATGATAAATGCAGGACGAAGTATTTTCCGAGGCTCACTAGAAATCACTCATCGCAGCAATGAACTGACAGCCCTTGCTTCTTCGGTAACCACGGTAGTCACCGGCATGATCAGTGCAGCTGAGAATTGTTTAAATATTCGGTGGTCGCTGCCGTTCACAAACCAGAGCCCCTTAAACCCTTTCCATTTTGCGTGTTCTAGTGTGGAAACTACTCGTTTTCTTTGGTCTAGTCTGTTTGGTCCAACAACGGCGAGCTTCTTTAGGCTCACCGTACGCCATCAGCGCTTCTCTGGACACCCTGGCGCATCTACCGGTGTCACCGAGTCTCAAGGTTCAATCAGACGAGACTCCACATTACGCTCTATGCTCGGTTTGCCGGCCGAAAACGTTGGGAAGGCTAAACAAGCAACGGATCCGGCAGAACACTAGAGAGCTGATGATTTCGACGAGTTTCGTACATTTATAACGGGCCCTCTGCGCATCTGCGGTAACACCAGGACTCCAGCACCCTCAGCAACCAACTCATTGTCTAGATGCTCGAGCCAGTGCTGCACGGACACGAACTGAACCAAGCAGCAGAAGCAATCGTAGGTCGCATGGAGTGCGCAGCAACAGAATGGTGGTACATACCAATACAGCCATATTCAGGGCAAGCACGAGCACAAGCACCTTCGCCCTGCACAAGAGAGCACGTGCTACTTCCGCGAGGGGATGGGGGCGCAGATATTGCATATTTTGTGGGACATTCGCAATTCCGCCTGAATTGGGCAAATGCACTCTTATCCGGCAACAGTATCTGGGTTGTACCCAAACAAACGTTGTCGACAACTATCTACAGTGCTTGTATATACAGCAATGACATCCTGTTTGTGCTTGTGGGGGGCCTTCGTGAACCTTGCGATGCAGCAAGGTGCTTTGCAACTTATCGAGATCCACCTCAAATCCCGTAACTGCATCTCAAGGTGAAAAATATGTACCGCATGCGGAGGCAAACAAGGCTTCTTGCCCGTAAGAAGCTTGAACCGCCCAGCTTAGGATGCTTGGCTGCTGGAGAAGCAGGTAAGCTAAGCGATTCATACTCCATGCCTATGATTTGGATTCAGGCATGCTCGTACCTGTGATACAAATATCACTAATTGGGATGCTTACTATAGCTTACGCACCCAGCCGGCGAACGACGCCGTTAATTGTCAAACTAGATAGGAAACCTTCGGAACTCGGAAAAATTGTTACACTTCGACATTTTCGCAATTGCTGTGAAGTGCGGGCAACCTTAAGTGCTTTGAACATGCACATTCATCACATACTGCAGGTAGCTGCCAGCTAATGAATGAATTCAATGTTGCCAATGCAGGGCAAAGCAGACGTCTAACATCGCTCCTAAGCAGATTTGTGGGTATTTAATTGGATGTGAAACGATATACAATGGTAATTTTGAGCACGAAGACTTGATGTGTAACTCGGGACTACCGGTATGTCCGTTTCTGGTTCGCTTGTTGTTGAGTGCAGGCTAGGAAAAACTCTGGAAGGGAGTGGTGACATTAGGCAAAATGACACCTACTGTGGAAACATTATAATTCACTGCAGATAGCCGAGCTTATGTTCCTTCGTTGCCGAAACACTCCCAAGTTGTACCAGCAGTTAGGGCCAGCAAAATGGTCGCCATCGATGGGCGTGCTTATCATCGATTGCGTGAGGTGAGGAACTGCAATAAAAGAATCAACACTCCCCAATTAGTTCACTGAATTTTGCACATTTATATACTGCAAAAAAATTGTCTTGCTTTGTTATGTTTTCCTTGACCTGTGTACACTCGGCTGTACAGACCAGCATCAGTCGCGCGTGGCTTGTCAAACCTCGCACGTACCCCAACGCCACCATTCGCTTGTGCCACTGCTTTCGTGCATGTACGGATCATCTTACAATACAGACTAAAAAGTTTATTCATGGACTTGAGGGTCCTTCTTCAGCAATAAGCCCAAAGGTGAGACCTTTTCCCATACGTTGCTGGGCTCAGCGGCCCATCCACGATGCATCGACGGTGTTCAAACGTTTCTGAGGAGCGCTTACCATACTTTCTATCATATGCACAACAAGTGTTTGTTGAAAATTCGGCCCTTGCTTCTCTCATGTGTGGCGAAACTGCTGCCCATTTGTGTGCGGATTGCCGTCGCATGCCGCACAGTGTATTAAGTCTGTGAAGCACGGATTACTTGTTTATTGGGATGTTCACTAGGGTCTGTGTTTGATCTGCTTCCACTGAGTTTTTGAAAGGGTTGGTTAATCCTTCCAAATTTGCGGGTGTCAGGGATGGCAACAGAGTGGCTTGGCATGGGGTGCGACGGCTGAGTGGTGTGTAAAATGTACGGTTGGGAGGGTTTCCCCCGGCAGTCTCTATGCTCATTGCTGCGAACAGTGCACAGAGTTATGCCCAATGTCTTGTTGCTTGAATGCAGCTCAAAAGCACACCGAGATCGTGCCTTTCTTCCAACCGTTGTCTGCTCCGGAGGTCGCTTCTTTACTGTGGAGCGACGTTGACACGCTTTGTGCTCCCCTGCTCCACCATCTGAATCAGGAAGATGGGTCGTGCAGAGAAAGGATGCCCTATTTGCTACCACAAGCTTCCCCGACCCGGAGAGGTGTTGGAACCTTACGATGAAGAACTCAACTACTTCATGTGGATTCCAGGGTTCGAGTGGAAGCCCAAGCGCGTTGTTGAGGAAGATGCATATGACACAGAAGGCTCGGAAGGTGAGTCTCCTTCTTTGGGGTCTTTGACCCTAATGGATGTTGTTGACACCAGATAGTTCACGTGACCCTGATTAGCGGGTCAGGATGTGCTTCTCATTACCAGGTTAACTCCCGGTTCGCAACCTGTGCGCCTGCCACCGTCATCGCTGCTGCGTTGTAACGAGAGCGGAAAGCATTATACCTTATTTGGCACAATGATGTTGGGAATGTGGTAGCGATTGGAGTGCCACGATGAACTTTTGGAACCTGGTAGTGTTGCCGTGTGCTTAGGGGAAGCTGACGAAGACATGGAAGAGGCTCTGAAGGAGATGGTAGAGAATGACGAAATGAAGCAAAAGTACAATGAGCGCGCCTCAGGCGGAAAAGTTTCGACGACGGACGCTGCTGTTCTAGCCAGACAGCTTGGCCTTGCCCCATCCTACGCTGATGTAGAGAAGTTTGAACAGGAGAATGGAAGCCAGCTTGACTACTCCACATTCCAGCAGTTCGCAGCTCAGAGCACCCATCCTGAAGACAACATTGAAGACCTAGTCGGCGCGTTCGCCCACTTTGACCCCAATGTACGTTCGAGTGTGCATGCCGCCGTTCACCATCTCGTACTATTGCAGCGCCAACATGCATTCATGGTATTTCTGCAAATTATATTCAAGTTAAGGACATATGTGTCGGTGCTACTGTTGATCAGGGAAGCGGCTCATTGACTGTGCAACAGATGCGCAATATTCTTATGACATTCGGTGAACCTCTCACCAAGGAGGAAATGGGCGTTGTCGAATCGTAAGTTGTATTTGATGCTCCGTTATTGATCTCCGTAGAGATAAAAAGCACTAAACGCGTTAGCGGCTCCGTTTGGACCGCATGTATCATCCATGGTACGGTAGCAAGACTCGTCTCATGTTTCTATAATTGGTGTTGCAGGAAGTTCTTCAGTGGCACGACAGTTGACTACAGAGAGTTCTGCACGAGGTAAGATGACCGGCATCAATGAACACCTGCTGTATAGACATCCATCAAGTGGCGGCTAGCCCATATCTGGTCGTCAACAGCAGATGCGGCTAACGTGTTGCAATTTGTCTTGCTGCTTTTATTGCTGCCGCAGGGTTCTCGCTCGCAATTGAGTGCAGTGGGCGCGAAGAGTCGCAAGGAGGAGTCCAATGAAAGGGATGCGCGGGCAGTTTTTCCTCGTCTATACGTCAATGTATATAGCGTACATGACTACGCACAGCGGACAAAGCCAAATGTACACATATATATGTATGAATACACATCGTGCATGACGAGCAGTGCAGTAGTGCAGCGCTTTATAGCTTGCCAGCTAGAGACAAGCTGAGGCCCAGTGCTTTAGCAGCGGCCCAGGTCCCTGCAGCACGGCCGCCTCTGACTTCACATTGGATGGGTTTGTGTAGCATTAATGGGCTTTTTTATTGTAATGAGAAGTGCTGCCGCAGGAGGTACACCGCTCCGGAGACGAGCACTGGCCGCCTGTCGGGTCGCTGCATCAACTCCACCTTTCCCTGTACATAGTGCAGGGTCTGTTGTGTCGCACACGCCGGCGTTTAGGGTGTAGCTTGTGCAAACGGCAGGATGCCCATTACGAGCTACATCATCCTTCTGCGCAATATAACTCACTAGATTTACCAACAACTAACTTTTTCCGAGGGTGACCAAGGGCTGTTTTTGAGAGCAGCCTGCGCTACACATATGCTGTAGTTACGCATCGACCATCAGATAGCGTGATTACTGTGAACACGCGCTACTCCGTCAAGAGCCCAAATGGGAACAGTTGCAAACACCGCGCCTCCCTGGAGTCGAGATAATATGCTGCAGACAGCCAGGGGTGCATCTGTTCGTTGTGTGCAACTCCTAGATTGTTCATATGGGCTCGGGTTCAGCTGCTCATGCACAGTGCATGATCCGCTGCAACTTGCACTCCTGGGACAGTACCACCATAGGCGGAGCAACTATGGGTGGTTGGAGAGGCAAGTTAGCAGGTAAGCAAGCATGTGCATCAAGCACAGCTCTAGTTCCTAATAGCCACTGGATACACAGATAGAAGCCTCTTGAGTCGACTTCCATGCGTTCAAAAGTTACCAGGGCTGAGTCCAGAACGTAGGCGGCGTTGTTTGCGTGTTCTTTAAGGAGTCTTTGCGCCAATTCTGCACGACCTCCCTTTCTGCGCGGCCTTATAGCATGCAAGCCGTGCTACCTGCTAAGGATAAGCAACGGAGTGCTCCGCATGCATGCATCTGTGTGATACTCTGCTGATGCCTCTAGCATCAACAGAGCACTGGTGTGCCTGTGTGTACGTATGTATGCATGGATGCGTGTTTATGTTAGAGAGACAATCTTCCCGTCCTGGCAGTCCTGATACGAGTAGCTGCCCTGCTGTTTGTTGCTATCAGCCTGGCGTCAGTCGGCAGCAACGTGAACAATAGCACGCGACTGGATGATGCCTCGGCCGCCAACCAGTGCCGTTGCATGCAGGAGCACCCACAAGCTGGAGAGTTGAATTTCTCCATCTAGGAAGCATTCCCTGCTAAGTTCGATCCAGAAGGAGAAATCGCGCCAGTATAAGTAAGGCGGAGACTGATGCTGTACTGGCCCCTCCTCGCCTTGACCAAACAATGCAGCGCTCGAAGATGCATTCTGCTGGGCTCCAGAGGGGTTGCTGAACGCCTCCTCTCCCCTCAGACTCCCTTCTCCCTGCAGGGAAAAGCCCTTAAACTCCCTGTAGGATTCACCGTAGAGATCAGCTGGACGAATCGGTGGAGCCCCTGTGTTGCCTTCTGAACTGAACGTCTTGAGGGCTGCGACAGTCACTTTGCTCTGCTGAAATCGCCCGTGAATCTGTACGATGAGATTGAGTGCGAAGAAAACACAGAAGGAGGCTATCGCCACCAGAAGATACTTCAGCTTGATTTGCAGCTCCACTTCGTCGGCTGTGCGTGCACACGCCCTGCATCCAGCATATCCATCCGCATGGGTAGCTGAACTGCGGCCTCTCCGTGTTACTGTGGCAGAGTTCTGCGTCTTACGGCCCTCCACTGCGGTAGAGGACGGGGCTTGCCTGCCGCCAACTACAGAGGAGGGCGTGTATGAGACAAGCAATGAGAGTATACCCATTACAGCTACGGCCAACCAGCCGCAGCAGCAAGACATTCCTAGCTCCCGCTTTACAGCCACTGGAAGTTGCAGCTGAGGCGAGAGATGTCTATGCTCTCCTTCACCATGAACTGGGGTGCTGTGGTTCTGGAGGACCTTGTCTATGAGATTGGCCGGCTGCCACACGTGCTGCAACGACGTAATACCGATCACCACTACGTCTAAGAGCAACAGCCCGTACACCAAAAGCATCCGCCGATCAAAGCGCACCCTTCCGTGAGAAACCGGCAGCGGCACACATGGGAGGGTTGCTTGCTGCTGCTGTTCCTGCTGCTGTTGCTGCGTCGGCGGTGGCGTGTTAGACGAAGATGAGGACTCCATGGATCCGCATGCATGCACACCTGTGGGTCGAGGCGCCGTTGTCGCCACTATACTTGTAGAACTATTGCTAATGCTGATAAACTTCAGACGGGTAGACGAAACAAAACAACTATACAGGCGGCGTGTGTGCGCCGCTACAGCTCCTCCTCCCCTACTAGTCCTTACTCATCCGCCTCCTTTGCAAGAAGTTATTAAACGGGAAAATGAGCCTAAGGAGCCCTGGGAGTCAGTAAGAGATTGCCTGCTGAGGTTAACGCAGAATGAAAGCACAGCTACAGACAGACGCTCCGAGAGGCGCTGCTCCGTGGGCCACCGCACATTCACGCATCCGTAGACTATGCTGGGCTAGATGAAGAGCAGATGACCACAGAAAATGAATTTCGTCGAGGAAAAGAATTTAATTTGAGGATGTGGCGCAAGAGCGGAAAACTGGAAGCTGGAGGGGGGGCTGTCCCTCCGGTTTGTAGGTCTGTCTGTACACTGTTTCATTTAAAAAGACGGGATGTGCGCCAAGAGTTGTTAAATATATACAAATGAACGTTGTACGTCGTCTGCGAAGGAATGCAGAGGTGTCGTACATACAGGAGAGCGAGTGCATCCCAATGGGCTACCAGGGGAAGGACGGAGGCCCATACGGAAGTGTGTATGCCGAGGTCTTCACATTAGTTGTTCTGCAAACAAGACCGTCAATATATGCTTTCAACACATCTGAAAACCTTCATTGAATCCTAGTTTCTGTTATTGTTGCTTCTCGGTGGCGGTTTGGCTCAGAGGCGCCATCTCTGGTATTTTCCACTGTTATTATCGGCCCCAATATGTGCCCCATAAACGGCTTCTTTGAGTCATAAGGCAAAGTCAATTCAAATTAGCCTTGTTTTCGGGCAGCAAGGGCTGGAACTGGTGCTGCAGGGCAGTTCCGCATCCCGCATATGGAGTATGCAAACCGTAGCTCGACACGCTCACTCAAAGCAGTTTTCACGATTCAGCCATCTCGGTCTTGGCACGTGGTTATTCACTGTACCACATGTTGCTTGCTGTTTTGGTGCGGCTGGCTTAGCCCGCTAGGTGAGTCCATTTCCACGAATTTTCACCGCATTTCCGCTATTGTCCCTCCTCAGCCGCTGCATCATGCCCGCAGCAGCAGGAGAAGCAGCTGTGGGCAGCCGCCGTTTCCTGAGTTGAGGTATCAAAGGCGTAACTGAACTTGTGACGTCTGTCAGAGCAACATGCATCTGCATGCGGGTGTGAGAGCGTAAGAGCAGGGAGTATGCTATAAGGGAGCAGGGAGTATGCTATAAGGGCCCTGACTCTGAACTGGTGCTCGCGGAATGCACGCAAATGTTGCGTTGGCTACTTTGGAGCAACTCAAATAGATTAGTGCAACCTTGTTGAGCACATCAAATGAGCAACTTCAGCAGGGGTGCACGCTTTCGGAGAAATTAGTGCAGGCGGTCGTCAAGGGAAAGCTGGAGCAAGCTGCAGCGGACAGCCTGCTGATGCGTGAGTCTGCTGTTTTCCTGACCCCAGAGGTCTTAACTACAAAGGGTGCATCGGCAAGTTCTCTGTGGTCCTGAACCATCTGCCCCACCGAAAACCATGCGGGTTAGCAGAAAGTGTTGCTTTCTGGACTCTGCTGCTCCATGCACATCGGATTCTGGGAATACTCCAACATGTCCACATGCCTTCAAAAAAGATTTTGAAGTGAAACAAAGAAACGAAAAACAGAATGTGGCAGGTATCCCCCTCGTAAGCCACAACTTTTGTTGCAGTTGCTAGGGGAATGTGCCTGTGGCTTCTGAATAGAAGCACAACTCCCCCCTCAGTTGGCCGCCATCCCTTTATGGTGCAGGAGCTGAGAATGTGTATGGCTGGCCAATAATACTGTGCGCGCCAACAGGGGGGGAGAGCAGTTCAATAGACAACCCAAAAGACACCTGTAGAGTTCACCTTAGGAGACATTTCTAGTATGCCATCAATTCAGTAAGTAAGACTGCCTCTATGACGCGGAAATGGCAAATAGGTCACCAAGGAAGAAATACCTCTTAGGGAAAAAACAGGCAAAATGGAGACGGGGCAAGGAAAGCAATCTGTTGCGCTGTATGGGGGGGCGGTCGCTATCTGGCTGTCTGCCAGTTACAGCCTGTTTAACAGTGTTTTCTTGGTTTTCCTTTTCATAGTAAAAGAGAGGCCTCAAAACGAACGCCAAATGATGGTGCTTGGGAAAAAATGTGAGATGTCTCCCGACTGCACCCCAAGCAAAGCCACTGGTGAGAGCAAGTTTTCCCTTCGATTGTTAAATACACTGCAACTTCAATGTATCTGAGAACCTGCGTCCCGTATGTACACTCGTTGCGCCAAATATCCAGCTACCCCAGCCGCTTTGCACGAGCTCTGGGCAGGGGAGGAGGCGCAGTGTCCAGTGCCTCCATGAGTCTAGCACCACCTACCCACGCTAGATAGGAAAGTACTGAAGTCCTGAAATAAGCTTCTCATGGCACATTGAACTGGATATTGTCCGACCTCTTGCATATTTATAGACAATGCACTGTGGCAGCGCGCTCACGGGTCCAGATGAGCACAACACATCATGGCGGTGGTGCGAGGGATAGTTAGGCCCTTGCACTTTTCCGTATGGGCACAAATATAGCGGCGAAAACTTTCCGAAGATGCTCAAAGAGAGACGACCTCACACATCCCCAGGAATTTCTCATGTCTTTTGCTTAAGTGCGGATAAGTGCACAGAGTTGAGCAGTGTATTCATCTCACCTAGTGGAAGGTGGAGAGGAGTAACGCAAAGTGGAGGGTATGCTGGTGCCGTCGCACGCATGAAGAAAGACTGTAGTGTGCGCGTACAATCATTATTTCAGCTACAGGATCTATAACTCTTCCGTTTTCTAGCAGGACTTAGCATATGCAGTGGCAAATGATCAAGACTTCGATAAAATTGGGGGGAGCGTCACCACTTTTGTTGTTTCACTTGTCTGCAAGTACAAAATGCCACCTGCTGCACCTGCTGCAGCGCTTTGCTCTGTACACCAACTTCTGAACGAAATGCCTGGCTTCTTGTGTCGGGCAATTTTCATCTGGAAGGGAGATGCGTCCCCTGCCTGCAACAGCGGTCCAAAAATATACGTACATGTGTATATATATTGCCCAGCTACACGCAAATAAGCTCGACACTAGCAAATAACTTGCTAGTGTCCTTCACAGGGAAAACAAGCACAGTGACACCCTAATTTACCCACATAGCAAATACGCGCAGCGCAGTCATTAACAGGCATTTAGTCCCCTTGCGGACAAAATCATCTGGAGGACATTTGCATCACTCTCGATAATAAAGATGCAATCTGCCGGTCCTTCGTGTAAAAAGACTGGCAGATAGCCGCTGACGACGGGTTGGGATCAGCATCCCTTCCATTTCGGGGAGACAAATCCGAAGAAAACAACCAACCCTTAGCCAAAAGTGCCCTAATAAGTTACAACGTAATCCATGCATAATCTGAAATTAGGAATATTTCCATTATGTGCCCACCACAGAGAAATTTAGAGGGGCTAGTGCAACAAGCCTGCAGGGGCCCACGGTAAGGGGCCCCCCCACACAACCCGGAGAATTACCCGAGAACATCGCATAAGAATAGCGGGAGTGGCAGAACCACAGCAACAATTTATTTTATTTTCTTGAACTGCATTTTAGAACGGATAGGTTTCATTTCGATGCGAATCCGTATTTGTGCTGCGTCAGCTGTCGATACGCCTGACGAATCGAACCTTGATATCGACAAATCCACAAAGGATGCCAGACGATAAGCTCGCCAAAGTGGAGGGAGAGATGGGCGCAGAGGAGCAGCGCAGCGGTGACATGTCTGAAGGAGAGACAGCAGCAGCCAAACAATTTTCGCCGCACGCATTCCACTCAACTTGGGAAGAACTGTATCAGCGAGACTTGCACAATGCTGCCGCAAGGAAGGCTTACCAAGCCACAAAGAAGCACGAACGGACAATTGGAAAAAGGCAAATGGAAGCCAGGAGGAGCAGTAGGTGCAGCAGCAGCGGGACCAGTGACTGTTCTAGTGACAGTTCCTCAATAGATGGGGACGAGTGGTTTGGGCCGGAGTGCGGCAAAATACTTAGCTGGCTCTTAAACACCTTAAAAACGCCTCACAACCATCCCCTGAAGCCTTATTTCCGCCGAGTGCATGCACTCTGCAACACGGGCTCTTTAGGAGCTGGAGTATGCAGGGGAGACACATGTCACTGGTGCAAGGGCGAAGGGCCTTTAATCTCACAGGAGTTTAAAAGGCTTCCCATCCTGGACGTAGGATGCGGCGGCGGTCAGTTCTTGGCGCGTCTCCGTCGTTGTGGCTTTCAACGGTTGGCGGGCGTTGACTATTCGCACTCTGCTATTCAGCTGGCCCGTTCGAACCTTTGTGAGAAGGCCGGTAGGACAAGCAGCTATGGCTTTGCCCACATATGTCTGAGACAGGCAGATTTGAGACATCTGAGAGCCGACAAAAGAGGGGACGATCGGGAGGACAGAGACTATCCGTGCATTTGCTGCTGCAGCAGGGCACTAAGCTCCCCCAACGTCCCTGCAGATAGTGGGGAAGAGAGCGGTAGAAATGACAGGGGCGGTTCGTCCCCGTGCTCATGTAAACCAGCAACAAGATTGCCACCATTTCCTGTTGTGTTCGACAAAGGAACCTTTGACGTCTTCTGGCTCATGCGCACCCCTGAGCTGTACGTGCAGTGCATGCACAGGCTTATGCCACAGTACAGTATTTTGTTTTTAACTTCTTGCAACTGCACCATCGAGGACCTGGATTCTTTATTTTGTGCGAAGATAGGTGCACCTGAGCAACAGCAACAGCAGAAGCAGCAGCAGGCGCCCTCAAAAAATTCTCGGAGGGAAAACACGGTTCACTCTGAAGCCTCCCACCAAGCAGCCGCTGCAGCATCGTCGGAGCCGCTAGAGTCTGCAGACTGCAGAATCTCAGAACCTGTGGACTCGTTAGGGGAGACTGATGGAGTAGATAATGGGAGCAAATCGGCGCCGGAAGGGCCCCTCTTTGAGCGGATTGGCTTATTGCCACATCGGTCGTTCAAGTTTGGCGGAGTTGAGGGTCAGGTGGTGACCTCAGTGCTGCTTAGGAGGATCTGACCAATCGCGCATGTTCCTTATTATCTGGATGCTTAGGGCAGCATACCAAATGTGGGATGCTTGCCTCGTTGATGCTGGAATTGTCTTGCATCATTTTGGCTTGTTCGCTGCATCAACTGGCTTGCCACGACGCTAGTACTCGGGTCTCGTTAGAGTAACTACAGGAGGGAATTCCTGCACTGTTCCCAGGATTGGCTTTTTATAGTCGAACGGACTCGTGTTGGGTCTTTTGGTGGGCACCTATTTACTTCCGTATGCACGTGCTCACTATATACCTACTGCATTAATGATTTCAACCGCGTCAATGAATGCTTCATTCGGCTCTTCTAGGCAGAGCTGTGCATGTGAGCACCTGTGAGCTGCTACGTCGCCAAGCTCGTTCACGCCCGTTGTTTGTATGATTTGGCCTAGTAGTATTCCTGACGGGAGAGACGGAGCCTCAACGACATATTCGCCAGGACCGAGAGGTTCTGCTCTACTAATTTTAAAAGAGGTTTTCATTTCTACATTGTTAAGATTGGAAAAGGGAGCCGTACGAGACCCATATGCTTGGCTTCGTGCAGCGCTGTGCATGAGGTTGACGAGGACACGTTCAGTTTGGGGGGTGATTGCTGCCTCGTGCATTGGTGTAGGTGCCGGAAGTAAATAGAAATTTTGAAATTTTGCAGCTGTTCTGCTAATAAAACGCATTCTGAATAGTTGCTCAAGCATGGGCACGTATTTGGGTACTTGGTTTTGATTGTGCGAGGCTGCATTGGAGCAGCGGTGTGCGGCGGTCGGCCGCTGCCGACCAGCGAAGACGCAGTCAGCGGAGGTGGCCTCCGGCGTGGAATTTCGAGCTCAACATCGTCCTAGTTTCTCTAGCTGACATTGGTAGAACACTAGGTTTTTATCCCCGTGATTATAGGGGGGCACCTGCTGCGCCCTTCAACCTATTTAGCACTCGCACACAGCCAACAGCTTGGCTTCGACATCCCGTATACAGATATCCCGACCCACAAATTACTAGCAAAGTGGTCTTTTCCCTGATATATATTGAAGTAGAAGCGGCGTCTAACTCATTTAACTGTTATTTGTTTATTTCGCCAGCAGCTTGCCTTGATATACCATTGACGTTGACTGCTGGCCCCACAGTAGACCATCCCACTGGATGTGTCGGCCTCGTCAGGAAGCGGCACTACCAGAAAAAGGCGCCTTGACAAAAATTTGTTAACTGTTTACGGTACCGGAAATATATTGACTTTTTGTACTCCTGACAGCCCGTGCTTCCACTCTCCCTGTTATCCGGAACACCACTGCTGGCGGTGACCTCCACGGAGGTAACCACACTGCCTCACCTGGAATATACGCGTTGAGAGGACTCTTCTCCTTCAATTCGGCCATTAAATGCAGTCCCTCGTCTGTGGAGAGTCCGAGGGAAATGCTATAAACAGCCATAGGGGTCTTTCGAGCAGACATTTACGGGCCGCCGAGTTCTTAATACCAAAGTATTTTGGGGAACGTGAGGAGAGCACTGGGTTCCGCCTTTCTTGTAAACTGTGCAAATTTTAGCGTCAACACAGTCCATGTGAATTCCGGTGTTGGAATGATTATCTTCATGATATAACTGACTTTCCTCTTACGCAGGTTCGCCTCTTGCACACAACGTGTGAAGCATCTCTTAACCCAAGATACACGAAGCTCGTAGTCCAACGTTAAGCAGGAAGGATATCAAGGCAATCTGGGGCTTCCCGCAGGTATTTTACGAGGACCATATATCATTGCGTCAGGAGAAAATGCCAAGAGGACCCTTTTGCCTTCCCGTGGAAGCTCCGTTCTACGGGCAGTCTGCGGCCATGAAAGACTCCGTTGACTCCGAAGAAATACAACCGATTTCCATATCTCCTGCCTACCTTAATGCAAACAGTGTGGTCGAGCAAATTAGGGAAGGCATTCCCTGCTTAGTGGAATCGAAGTGCTTAAGCTGCACAGCAGTCCCCAGTGGAAACAGTGGTTATCCAAAATTGGCAGGGCCCAACGAGAGGCATGGTGTTCCAAATCATCCACAAAACTCTCCTAGCGGCAGTAGATCGCGAGTACGTTTGGCCATCCTCAGTACCCACCGGAATGAGGAGGTGCTCGGGCTTGCCCCACACATGGGGGCCTCAATGGGAGTATGCAGGGTTCCCGAGGCTGTTTCGTGGACACCACCAAACGAATTTGCCTCCACTCTGCCTTCATTGAGAATGGCGCCATTAAAGGACAAGCTGCTAACTTCAGAGCTAGCAGATCCATCGGATAACAAAAGACCGTACCTTGCAGTGAGTACTGAAAAGATGCACACTGATTATGAGGCTTCGTCTGCAGGACCCCCAAAGAAAAACAAATTGGGGCAGACAAGAATATCACCGGCTGGCCTGGAGAGTTCCTGCGCATCTAAGCACGAACCACAGCAGATGCGTGCAGCAGCAACTACACAACCTGGGGGACGCGCGCACGAAAAGGGGCTGGAGACTATGACGGCTGTGTACGGAAGGCCTGGCACTTGGACGCCACGAGGAACGCGGCCTCGACTGAGTATATTCAATCAGGGAGAGCATGTGGCAGCTAAGATGTACTTTCACCCCACCAAAATGGCATGGCGATCAGAGCTGCTAGTAGATGGCTGCAAAAGACAGCGATCTTTTTCTTGCAAGGTAGGTGCCGCTGCCTTTTATTGGAAATGAGCCCAAGTGCTAGGCGTCCTTGTTGCGGCAGAAACTGACCACGATAGGGTCTGGGCTGGCCTGTTTCCGGCGTCGTGGAGAGCTGGAGTAGGACCCAGTGAATGAAGTGCCAGGTAGTTTTTTCTTCGGTTATGTAGGTTCTGAGGCGTCTAACTACCAGGCCGTGTTTTTATGAGCTGTTTCGTTTCAGCTGTACGGATTTGAACGGGCGAGAATGATGTGCGAGTGGTCGAGGGATTTCGTGTTGCGCACAGCCCGACTGCCGACAGACGACGAAACCCGGGTAGCTGTCGGACGACTGATGGTATCCACATTCCCAACAAGCAACACTACAGAAACCGTCCCCCTTTATACGGGATGGTTGTATGCATACCCACCGTTTGAAGCTGGACCAACGTGTAGCCCTGTAGTACAGATTGAACAAAGCCCTGCTGACAGGCAGAACACGCACCAAGAAAACCACTCGCCCAGGAAACTCCTAGCCCAATATCACCCACTAACGTGGGGGGCTGGAGTGTGTGCTAATCGACAGCAGCACCGTCCCCATCCCCAGCTCGAGCCAAAAGCATCGATTCAAGCTCAAATTCAGAGAATGTCTGGATTGCAGGCACGCACAGGCTCGCCGTACGTGGGCGAACACAATGCCTATTGTGCCACTGCATACAGTCTACTTTTGCCGCTAAAAACTAGCTTGAGCCTACCGGAAGCTGCGCATGCCACAAGTGGAGAACCAGCTGGAGACCAACTCGCGCGCGAACAGCATCAAGAGAGCTGTGCCGACGCATTCGCGGAGCTCAGTGTCCTACCCGTGCTCAAGGCCAAGCTTAAGAAGCGAAAGAGCCGAAAAACGGGGAAAAGACCCCACAGTGGTGTGCGAGGAATGTATATTTATCACAATGCCTGGAAAGTGGGTTGCATACGTTCGAAAGCAAAACAGCTGTCTGAGGGATCGGCATGGAAGCAAATTCTCTTCACCCTTCTTTTTTCGCTTTTTATGGCAGGTTAATTACTTCGGAAAGGACGGCCCTATACCGAAGTTTTTCTACTACAGTAGCGGTGTGAGTCATGCTCCTTTTCTTTTGCTGAAGCGTCTCGTGAGCCAAATACTTGGTCCGTAAAGAAAAGCACAGTGGTCCATTTGTATCCTAGGCGACATAATGTACCTACAATAGAGGGCTTAGCGACACACTGTTGTTTCAGGCAGGGAACGTGACTTGGCGCATATCAGGCGTTTTTGCTCCTGCATTTGAAAGCGTACATGGGCCGTGATAATGAGTTGCTTGCTGTCATTGCAGAACACCCCAGAAATGAAAGAACAGCACTCGCTGGCCCGTAATTTTCTGCGCCAAGTGATTGAGAAAAACAGACAAATTTATGACAGTGACGGAGAAGGGCTCTCTGAGGAAGAACCAGGCATGCTTACCCTGTGAATTTTTTTGCACTGAATTCCGAACGAGCAAGCAACTGAATTCCGAGCGAACAAGCAAGACTTTCCTTGCATCCTTTTCTGGTTTCTGTCTGTGCCTCGTATTTCCCTCCAGTGTGGGCAGAACGAGTGGAAAAACTAAGTAAACTTGCTGAAACATTGGCAGCCAAACCTCTGGAGCCGGATAATCCTTCTTGCAAAGCGCCGTACTACAGGACAGCAACCTCCATTCTGACTCAACAAGAGCCAACCATGGCAAACGAATCACCTTCGCTGCTTTCTTGTGGCAAACACAGCCATTTGGAAGACAAATCCACGGAAGGCTCCACAATACTACGAGGAGGCGTGCAACAATCGAATCGTGTCCCTGTACCGGCTCAATGCACCCAATCAGTCTACTCAAAGGGCCACCAGGGGCACCTTTGTGCGGATGAGGCTCTGGTCCGCAGCACAAAAGGTACGTTTTCAGGGGCGCCACCGAGGGATTTGCCTCATTCAAGTCATTGGTTTCATGGCATCTCGTTAGGTGTCTCAGTGCATTTTACCTTCAGGTAAAACGCAGCCAGACGCAGTAAACATACTACGGGGCTGGCCATCACAGACTGAAAGAGGACAGGAGACGTTAACTTGCAAGGGCCCCTATATCCCGCAAAATCAGCAACAGGGTCAAGAAGGAACATTCTCTAACTCTAGAGGGAAAGATGCCGGATCCCCTTTAAGACGAAAGTTAGAGCATGTGTTACCCACAGTGGCCGTCTGCCGAGGTACATGCTCAATTGGAACTATAAAGAGGTGCATAGGGCAAGCAGCATTTGAATCGTCGCCACCTGCTGGCACTGTCGCCATTCCCGAAAGTCTGTCGGAGAGCATCTTTAATATCAGAGCAATTCCCCCTAACTCGGCCCTTGTATTCTCAGGGGATGATCCAGAAGAGAATGGGCCCGTACACAGTGCATCGCAGGATGGCTTATGTGCTGCTTCTTTTGAGGGACCAGACAAGGAGCTGTTTATGCTCTCGAACACGGCTTGTGTAGATAACACCAGACCTTCCAAACCGCCGTGCAGTAACAGAGGTATCTGGACAGCTTGTTGTCAAAGCCCCCCTCCCTGCTTGTGTTTAGTTCAACCTCTTTAGTGGTTTGCCGTCGGTTTGAAGCAAAGCTATTTGTTTCCTGCCGCCAGTGCAGGCTTCTCAGTAGAATGACGCTCCCAAATTTGATTTCTTGGGTGTCCGTCAGCTTTCGATTTTGCAATGTAATTCGAATATGGTACATGGTGGGATGTGTGAGGCAACACAAACGAGCCGTTGCTGGTGAGAGATGAGGCTTGTAGTGGCCCACAAGCAACCGGAGGCCTTCCTCTGCATCAGGCGCATCCGAAAGGCAGCCAGAGACGGCGCTGTGTCCTTTCGATTTTTTTCAGTAGCTCATAACACCTACAGAAGACCGCGTAGTTTCAGTCTCGCATTCGAGCTGATGACGGTTTAAATTCCTCGACCAGCTGGGTGTAAACTTACCTCCCGCAGACTGGAAAGATAACTCTGTTGATAGTCTCACGTGAGCAGTACTGGTTCGGCTGTACTGGAGTTTCGCCACTTACTTCTCTCTGGGATAACTACTTTTAGCTCTAAGTATTGCTGAATTATTTGCGCTGGTTCGTCAGTTCAGGTTAATCCCTCTTATCTTTCCTTTCTTCAACGTTACACTGCATGAGGGTGTTAGAGACTAGGGCAGTGCAAACTGTGACGTGGCTGTGAAAAATGTAGGCCTTGTGGTGGAACAGGTGTTTCGGGCCTTAGATATAATGTAATAACTAGGAGATTAAGGAAGAGAGGACATCCTTATACTATTCATTAGGAATGGCCCCCAGTTTGTGGAACTTGCACAGAACCTCCCCACGGAAGACAAGTTCAGGCACAAGAAATGGCATCAAAAGCTATTACGTGCCGCTCGGCCTCAGGTGTCAATTGTGCACGTTCCTATCTTATCATTACAACCTGCGGCAGCTTCAGAACTGTCCGAAGAATATGCGGCACTTCGTTCCGGAAGCCAACGACGTCCCCAATTCTCAGCGGTGAACCGCCAGTGTGAATGTAATTCCAAGCCTACTCCACTACAACTAAGTGCCGTTTGTGGAGACGCCTCGACTGCATTTTCAGCCCCTTGTGCCTTCTCCTTGGACTTCACCCGAAACACCCTCAGATATTACGCCTTGTGTCACGAAAGAGCTGTAGCCTGTTTGGCACTGCCATCTGCCGTGAAGTGCACGGCCGTTTCGTGAATATACGCACTTTCACTCTAGTTAGATGGACTCATCAGCTAGCCCCAAATTAAGACAAAGTGCTTCAGATCCTCTGCAGCCAGACTGATGGGCCACTCGTGTATGGGCGTGGTGGGCGCGGTATTGCCACCCTTCCCTGCTCTGCTTGTGACGTGATCCGTTTTCCTCCCTATCTACATTCGTGCTATTTGATGCTTGTCCCAGCTGCGATACTAAGGCCCCTCTTCTGCAGCCGCTTTCTCCTCCGAGGCATCGAGGGAGGCTGGGGAGGGCGGCCGGTGTGCTGCCTCCCTCTTCATTTGTGCAGCGTTCTGTGTTAATTGCGCTTCCCAGGGTTACTTTTGCGAACTAAACGAATATCCTCGCTTTTTCAGTGGAAGACACAACTCCTTACGCAGGACGCGCATGCAATCCGAGGCGGCCCCACAAACCAGGCCTTGGGCAAGGGGGCTTTTCAGGCAATAACATCGTGGCTGTACTCAGCCCTAAGACAGTTACCAGTTCACGGAGACAAAAGAAGCATCCTTGTTTTTTTTTTTCTGTCCCCTGGGTGTGTGCTGCTGCATCGCGCAGCTGTGGGGAAGAGAGGTCACAACGGGATTCTGGGGGGAGGCTCAACCAGCCCCGGCGTCTCTACCGTAAATCTGTTCAAACCCTGATGCAGAAAAGTAGGCGTAGAGCGGTTTATCGTTGAGTTTTGCTGTTTATGGGCCTCCCGTTTATCCCTACCAGCGGGATACTATTAAGGGGTCTTGCCACCTCAGCCCCCCACTTACGCATATCTGTGCACAGTTGCTGTCGCAAACCAAACAACAAACCCAGCAATTGGGCATGCGTACAGACACGTCCAATCTAAAAACCTGCACCAGCCAACACTCTCCACTGTGACGCGCTGCGCCTCCCTGTGCTTTTCGTATGAAGTCGCTTTTGTGTGACTTGGGGTGTGCAGCCATCGCATTGTAGTCCTCGGCGTTGTCCTGTTCTGCAACAGTTGGGCGCCTAGGCGTTCTTCTCTTGCTCTCTACAACAGCAAGAACATCATTGACAAGGGAAAGCAAGGGAAGATAGAGTGCGCAATTGATTCACCATCCCAGAAGATGGTCCCAGGTTTCCGAGCTGCCGCTTTCGCGGCCTTGTTTAGTCTTTTTGGGGAATCATCTGCAATTATTACGCGGTCAGGGTCTCCTCAATGCACCCATCTATCCCCTGGTCCGGGGTGTACTTCAGCAACCAAGGAGCATATGCCTGCCCTTGCCTTCGGCCCCCTAGCCTTCATTGGAGGTATCGGGGTGTCTCCCAACAATTCCCAGCAGGTACTCCCAGTGCATTCAAGCATGCATAATCATTGCCTCAGGAATTTGGTCTCCATCTTGAAGCATACCAGCTGAGGAAAGTCCGCATTTTGGTAACCGAGCGTGTCTCATGAACCCTGTGCTAATGCAGTGTTGCGTTGCTGCGTGGCAGGTACAGAGTGCAGCAGTCGAAGGAGATAACAGGCCGACCTCTCCTGCCTTACCACACCGCCGGCTTCGTGTGGCTTCGTCAGGCGCCAAAGTAAGAAACTTCGCGGAGTCGCGGCGGGGTGTCTGGCCCTGATGCGGGCCCCGTGAGGCTGTTATTTGCGTCTAGGGTTTGTCTGTGTGTCCTGTACTCTGTGGTGCGCGACTTTTGTGCATTTATGCCTTGTGATGATGGCCATTTGTCTGAGCATGGCCGCTGTCGTGTTACACTACCCCCATGTGAAGGCTGCCAACCTGGGGCCCGGATACCGTGTGCGCGGCGCTGGTCGTTAGATTAAGCGAAGTAGATGCTGGGCGTACGGAATCGTCCCTCTCCCAATTTCTGTCAGCTGCCTCGCTTCGGCGTTGCTTCCGGGCCGCATGCATGAACGGCGGTGGGCGATCTGCGTAAAGGCGGCCTGCAGGCGGACACTTTAGGAATGGTCTGACAATGATTGCAGAGGTATGTCTGCCTCTGGAGTGTCCGAATCTATATGTGCCTCTTACATTCACGGGGGCAGGGTACCGCGCTAGGTGTTTCTTTCTGTTATGAAAAAGCGGTGCGCATTCAGCAGCACTCGGAAATATGCAGCGGGGTATGCGGTATGCATTGCCCATTCCTTCCTGTTGCCATTGCTGCTGTCACCCGGCATGCCGTGAGGATATTTCGTGTCTTTGTGGGGTATAGACAAAACTCTGAATTTAACGCCACCTTAAGGGAGCTGATCGTGAATAGAGAGGGCCAAGGACCGGCACTCGGCAGGAAGGCCGCAACACAGAGACAGAGTAGAACAGCGCTGCGGAGGATGGCAACGAAAATCAGCTGCAGAAGCGACGCAACGTACTGCTGAGAGGCCTGTGCAGGGCGTGAAGAGTTGCATACCAGCTTGTCTTCGGTGCAGCTGGAAGAAACAGGAACTGTCGGGGAGTGCTCCGGTCATGTTACGCCTTTCAAGCTGTTTGGTTTCGGCGCGTTGTTCTCCTACGGCGTGCTGCATGCATGCAATGTGGATATGCTGTACTTTAATTGCGGGTGGGGATATGCGGAACGCAGCTTGAAGGTCTCCGCTGGTGTGCGCTGCTGCTCCTCTGCTGTGCAGCAGCCCATGCTGAGAGAGCCTGCCTCTGCAGGAGGGACTTCAGACCGCATTGGACGGGCGCTGGCCTCTATGAGGAAGGCCTTCAACGAAGGGGTTGCGGGTGGTGGCCTTCGAGGAGGCGCGCGAGGCGGTGCGGCAGGGGGTGGCCTCAGGGGCAAAAGGCTCTCCGAGCCCAAGCAGCCGGCACTTCCAGTTGGGAGCGATATATTGGAGGGGCTAGAAGGGGAGGAAGATGACGAGGAAGACGATGACGACGAGGGGGACGAGGAGCTGGATGATGATTTAGACGACGGTGATGATGACGACGATACTGAGGATGATGCGGGTTATGCCGATGAGGACTACGACCCAATCGCACCAAGAGGACCCCTAGAGAACAATAACTACGGGGAGGTCTGGTTGCCTATTCAGTCTCGCCCTCGCCGCAACCGCAAGAATCACGCCACTCGTCGGCTCGTGCAAGAGAGCCTCGTGAAGCCTTCCAGCTTGATATATCCGCTTTTCGTGCACGACGAGGTGAGCGTTTGGTTTTCGTCAAAGGGCCTGGGCAATGGCTTGTCCCTCCTTGACACCAAGTATCTGGCTTACATGCCCTGCCACAACTCACAGGTATTCTGGAGCAGATTGTGCGTGCGTTGCGGACTTTTTGCGCCTCTTACAGGAGCGCAGCGAACCAATCCCTTCGATGCCAGGGCACCGGCGGCTGAGTCCTGCAGACGTGCTAAAGGAAGTAGAGGAGGCCCGCCGCTACGGTGTGAACGCTTTTATGCTGTTCCCTAAGGTGGACAGTGACCTCAAGAGTCCCATGGGTAGGCGGAGCTGTACCTTGGTCAAAGGGCTGGGACTTAGGGGAAGCACGCGTGTTTGTGTCATACTGCAATTGCAGCGCAGGTGGCCTGCTTCTGGAGGAGCAGGAGGTACCGTTGATGGGTCCATTTGGGGTGTGTTTCGTTTGCAGGGGAGGAAAGCAGCAATCCAGACGGTCTCATGCCTCGCATTATCATGGCAGTCAAAGACGCCTTCCCAGATGCTTTGGTGCTGGCCGACGTTGCGCTCGATCCCTACACCACTTCGGGCCATGATGGTGTCGTCGACGAGGAGACTGGAGATGTGCTTAATGACATGACGGTGTACCAGATATGCAAACAAGTTAGTTTCACTGCTGCCTCGTCGTTTGTGCTCGGTTGGCCCTCGCTTCCTTGTGATTAAGTGCTGTCCATATTTCGTCGCTTCAGGGTTCCTCGAGAACAACCCAGCATGCGTGGTCTACATTGTTGCGGCTTGTCACCAACCTCGATCAAATGAGCAGCACGCGTCAGTGGACGTTGTGTTCTTTGTAACGCGAGACAGTATGTTTCGTGATCTCCGGGAGAGCCATTTGATGTTTCTGAGGGAGATGTTGTGGTGCAGTCCGTCAATTTGGCGCGGGCGGGAGCGGATATGGTTTGCCCAAGCGAGATGATGGATGGGCGGGTGACGGCAATTCGTGAAGCGTTGGACATGGAGGGATGCGTGGACACATCGATCTTATCATACGCGTGCAAATACGCCTCTTCGCTCTACGGGCCGTTCAGGGATGCTGTGGGGTCCAAAATCCAAGGGGGTGTGGATAAGAAAACCTACCAGATGGACATCTCCAATGCCTTGGAGGCCGAACGCGAGGCTGAGCTGGGTATGTGGCCCTTGTAGGAGTTTTCGTGTTTTGGCTCTTTTGGTTCTCTGGGCAGGAGAGGTGCATTGCTGTTTTTACCAGTTACATGCCAGATGGTTACGTTGAGGAAGCCTTATGGCGGTTGCAATTTGTTGTTGGTGGGTGCAGATGTCCAGGAGGGGGCCGACATGCTTATGGTAAAACCTGGGACGCCTTACCTTGACGTACTGCGTCGTGTCCGCCAGAAGACGAACGTTCCCCTCGCTGCTTACCAGGTGTCTGGGGAGTATGCGATGATTAAGGCAGCTTCGGAGAAGGGTTGGATTGATGAGAAAGCCACCGTTCTAGAAACGCTGAAAGGTTTCCGGAGGGCTGGAGCTGATGCAATCGCGACGTACTACGCTAAGGATGCGGCCAAGTGGATGGCGGAGGACTGCAAAGGCAGCAATAGCTTTACTGAGCCTTGTTTCTAGTCTAAATTCTTTTGACTGTCTCTATCACGGCCATGCAAAGTCCACATTCCGCACAGGAGACATACGTATTGCAGAGCGGGAGGTTGTCCGGGAGCTGGGCGGGCTGATGCATATCACGGAATGATGCGGCTCGATGCATTATTGTAGAGGGATTGTGTCTCGCTGCCCATTCCCCGGATGACTGCTGCTTCAAGAAGGATATTGGTGGATGGGCTGTCAGAGGAGGCAGTTCTAGATATGCTATGATGGCGCAGTGCGCTATCAGGCCAAATGCTGGTTCTGTGTAGCCTCATTGTAATGCGGAAGACTTGGGAGCGGGGAGCAGCAGCACTTACAGGAGGAGCAGCGAGCTGCTTTTGCGCTCCGGCATTATAGGTTCTTTTGTATGGGAGGGGTTTGGTAGTGGATAGCGGGCGGAAACCGACGGCAGGAGCTTGGCGACTAAGATAACCAGTTTGAAGGACTGGGCAAATGCTTTGATAGACTTTTGGGGAGCGCTGAGACTTGCGTCAACCCGAACGAACTTGCGTGTTTTTGAAATTTATCGGTTCATCGCCTTTGTGTCCTTTCACCTACTTTTTCATTCTTTGTAAAAATACTGTTGGATGCGTGCCTGTGTTGTGCCGTGTCTTGGGAAGGTGTCTGCTGCAAGCAGCTATTGAACAGCTGGGGCAGCAGCTGGGGAGGAGGAAACAGCAGGCCCGACGTAGGGCCCTGCTGACCCTATGTCGGGCCATGCATGACCTTTCAGCTGTAGCTTGTCTATTGGATGTAGGGCGTTCAACAGGTGGGTGTAGAAATTAGGGTGGGACCTGTGCGAGTCTGTGCGTGCAGAAGGTCAGGTTTGCGTCATCCCTCACTGCACCGCGGGGCGCCCCGGCCTTTCCGTTGCCTCCTCCGGGCGGCGGATGCTACAGGATTGAAGGGCGAAGGCGACTGCTCTCCTCGGGTTCAGTAGACAGAAGGGGGAGTCGGTTGCTCGCTTCGAATTCCCCTGAGGGGAAGCTTCAGGGAACTAAGTGGTCCCTTGAGGATGTAGGAAATTCCTCCACTTTCCGGCTGCCGACGACGCCTCTGCCACGTCATCCCTACCTGCAGCGGCGAGTGCTGGATTCTGGCTTGGAGGTGTTCGTCTTGCCGCATGCGCATCCAGAAGGCAGCTTAGAGGTGCACTTGGAGATGCATGCAGGTAGCACAGCGGAAGCAGACAATGAGCGGGGCATGGCGCATCTTTGCGAACATCTGGTCTTTATGGGAAACCGAAGACGGGGAGAAGTCGTGGCACTGCAGGGCGAGGCCAACGCTTTCACGGATTTCCATCACACCGTATACTTTGTGAGCTGGCGAGGCGGTGAAGGAAGCGGCTCGGACGGTCAGAAGGCTGGAAGAGGAGAGGAGCAACACACTGCAGTTCGCAGACTCAGGGCAGCGCTCGAGATGATGCGAGAAGTCTTCACGGTACTACTTCCCGGCCCTGTAGTTCAGTTGACGAGCCATTACAACTGTGCTTCGGAAACACTAGGCTCCCCACTGTCGAGAGCCCTCGCCTGTGTGAAAAACCGTATCAAGCGGCAGCTGTGCTTCTGTGGACTGTTTACTTGTGTCAATGCATCTCAAGGCCCCCACCCAGTTCACCGCCGAGAGACTTCTCAAGGAGAAGGCTGCAGTGCTTTCGGAATCCTCCTTAGTGAACACAATTTTCTACAGAAAGGAACAGGCGCAGTTATCCAAGCTGCATAGCGACACCAGCCTTCCTTGCCGTTTCCCCATCGGGGACATGGGGCTCCTGCGCAGTTGGAACATTGAGGAGGTGCGCAAGTTTTTCGCTCGATTCTACCGTCCAGAAAACGCCACGCTGTACATTGTTGGAGATGTGGCTGCACATGCGACTCTCCGGTATGTAGACGACATCCTCGGGCCTGTTCAGGGGGACAAGGCAGGCGAAGAGGAGTGGCAAACAGTTCGCGATCTGTGGCTTCAGAAGACTGTTAAGAAAGAGTAGGAAGCTTTACACTACACGCTTTTCTCTCCTCCTGTGCTGACCATACGACTTCTCTTCCCCCACTGCACCCTGATTTCACGGGGGCTCGCAAGCTGGCGTACTTACTCGCTCCCTGTTTGCTGCTGCTGCCACCTTGTAGTGCTGCATAGTATTGGTTGAACCGGTAGCGGAGCGATTGGCCTTCTTGTGGGTTGCTGAGGTGGCTTGTGCAGTTCTGTCTTCTTCCCTCCTTTGGCGCACGCCTGGATTGGGGAAAACATGACTGTAGATGCTGTAGAGAACCCTGAAGGTTCTCCGGGCTCTGTCGGGAAGAAGATAGACCGAAGTGCTACTTCTCCCACGTCTCTTGATAGTGTGTTGAAGTCGCGGCTGCATGTGTGGCAGCACCCGCTACTGCAGCACTTCTCCTTAATCTTCCTCCGTAAGCTTCCTATAGCCGCCATGCACACGCAGGCCGATTTCTTCCGGCTCCTGGCGCGCAAGCTTGCCCTGCAAGCCCTTGCCGTAAGACTTACAGAGCGGTGTCGCCGAGAGGATGACACGTGGATGCGGGTAGAGGTTACCGACACGGAGTCCGTCAAGGAAGGTTGCCGCATTGTCAGTGTGGAGGCGGAGGCTGAACAAAAGCGCTGGCGAGATGCTGTACGCGTCGCCGTTGAAGAGGTGAGCGGTCTGCCTCCTCCACCTGCCCCGCAACGTAAAACTTCACGTCCTCAGCTGCGTGAAGTGCCCACTCCACGGAGGCGTTAGTTGCATTCCAGGAGGCCTAGCTGTCCTAATAAGATACACAGAAAGTTGGGATGTTTTCGGCAATGTCTGGCAGCTGAATCCTGACACTGCTGAATCATGACACTGCAGAGATATATGTGCTACTTGAAGGCAGGTATTCGATTTTGTCTGGTTTGAATTGCTGGGTGGACATGTGTTCAGGTACGCCAAATGGCGACGCATGGCTTGAGCGAAGCGGAGTTGGCAAGTTTGGTTGACTCGTACAAGGTTAACCTCGACCGCATGCACATGCAGCTGCTGTCGTCAGCAGACATGCTACGGCTGCTCATGGACAGCACCGCTTGCGGTCATCGCGTAGTGCACCTTGAGGACGAACGGGGTCTTGCCTTGCAACTAGCCAGGGGTGAACTGGGCTCCTCGTCTAACGCAGGCGATGCAAGGGGAGGGGGAGGGACAGACGCCCTCGGCTCGGAGAAGATGAGGCAGCTGCTCACCCTAGTAAACGAAGAGGCGCGGGTCATGCTCAAGTGGATGCACGGAACCATCGAGAACGACGGAAAGTACAGCGGGCCTGACGCCGTCTGTGCGTTCCTCGTTCAGTCAGGAGGTCCCCGCAACAAAGGCAACAGCTGCCCGCCCCAAAGAAAGCGCTTTCCTTCAACACAGCTGCAGGGCCACATCGAAATGGAGCAGATGGATACGGGGATTTCCAACGTGGAATGCTCCCCCACCTTGAAGAACTCAGATGGACAGAAAGACGGCGAAGATAACCAAGCAAGGCTTGCAATCCCGCAGGAATTTATCCTTGGAGAAATCTGCGACGCCATGACCCGTGCTGTCCCATCAAAGAGAGAGGGAGTTGAAGTGAGCGCTGCGTAGGAAGGCAAAGCTCAGCGCACGTGCAGAAGTTTTACTTTGACCTCTCACGGAATTGCTTTTTGCTGGGCCCTACAATACAGTTGTGTTATTTGCCCTGGTGAACAGACCCCGAAGTACTTGTTAACAAGTGAGGAGTTGGCGGCCTTACGACGCCGAGCGGCGGAAAGCTCCCCAGCAACCCAGATGCTGACGGAGGCAGGGCCGAACGCGCAGACCTTACAATTTGCAAACGGCGTGAAAGTCAATGTGAAGCCATTGGCCGAGGAGCGCGGGTCTGCACTGATTCGCGTGTTGATACCTGGTATCTCCAGCAGAAAATCGGACAGTAGCACAACTCAGCAGGGCAGCCGAAACTGAATGTTAGTCTTCACTTTAATTTACATCTTCTTCGTTTTTTAAGAAAAGACTTTACAGATGGTGTCACTTGTCTCCAGGCGGCCGGCTGGGCTCCAAGGTGGATATCGCAAAGAGTGTCCCCCAAAGTAGAGAGGTCGAGGACTTGAGGCAACACAGCGCCGCAATGGTGGTGGGGGCGATGACAATGATGGAAGGGGGTGCAGTGGGCCCCTTCACTCGCCAACAAATTGAAGCTTTCTGTCAGGAGAGGTTGATCGGTGAGCCATCTCCGGTGGATGCCCAGCATGTGGCGGTGTTACGTTCGGTGCAGCCCGCACGATGCCCAGGACATATGCACGCGAATGTCGTGCTGGCACTAGTAGGAGGCAGTGTGTTAGTTGAAATGCGCATTAGTGTGTCTTTCCGTTCTTTGCTCACGGAGGGAATGTGGATTCATCTGCACTGCAGCTGGAGCCGAGTTTGTGTTTTCAATCTGCCCCATCCTGTACAAGGCATGCTGCTGCCCGTTGCTGTGTTCCAGTTTTCGGCTGCGTTACGTTTGGATGTGGTTTCTCGTGTTGATGGCGTGCTTTTAGTAGTTTGAGCGCTCTTTAGCCTCTTGGGCTTTACTTTCCCTGCGCTTACAGGAGTCAGCATTGAGTGCTTGGACGAGTTTTTTGCCATTGACATCAGCGTGCCGGCCTTTGCGGCCCGCGATGCTGACTCTGACAAAACTGGCCACCCTCTGAGAGCATCAACGCTGGAAAGTGCTATGCAACTTCTTCACCTGATTTTCAATGCCTTTCGTTTTGAAGAATCTGCGTTTCGCCGAGCGAAGCAACGCGCCCTCATGGATTACCATGCATACACTCGAGATCTGGTGGTAAGCTAGCTCCCCATCTTTGATTTGTTCTTACCACTGAAGGCTACTCGAAGAGAGTCTCGGAATAGTTGAATAAGGAGTGCCGTGAATGTGAGTGTGGCATAAAAAGCCCATACTACAACAATGCGGATATTTACAGGGCTACTCCCTGGGGGAGCTAATTCTCAGCATGACCGGGAATGATCCGCGCTTTGACTCGCTGAAGCCAGCGGTGACTGCACGTCTGGAGTTGCCGTTTGTGGAGGAGCAAATCCGTTCCCACATCAAGCGGCAGCTGGACCGGGGAGAAATTGAAATTACGGTCGTAGGTGACGTTGACTCCGCACATGTCGCCAGATTAGCAGCGAGGTACTTGGGTACGATTGGGCCTGCTAACATCAACAGGGTGGGATCGCCGAAGGGGCTTCCCTCTGTATCAGGCGTACAAAGATTGCTGCAGTCTCCCTACCACCACCTCCAAGAACGTTCTACGAGCGCGGTGGCTCAGGAATGGAGTTTATCGCCAGATACGAAGGAGGCGCTTTCGGCAGGCCATTGGACGAAGGTTTGGGGAAGGCGGCTACATGCCTACGTGAGGGACAGCGAGGCACGTGCTGTGGTCCACATAGGAGGCTTCGCGTGTAATCGGTGGGGCAGGAACCCAAACGGGTCGTGGATATGGGACGAAATGGAAGCCCTACAGCGGAAGGATGACTCGGTTGCCGATCAAATGGAGGGTAGAATAGCCGAAATGAGGCAGCACGCGGCAGGCAGCGAGCACCGAAAGCACCCAGCCTTCCCCCGAGTGGCCTTGTGGATTCTGCAAGAGCTTGTTACCAAGCGCCTTTTCTCAATTTTGCGAGAGGAGCAGCGGCTAACATACGAGGCAGCTTTTGATGTCATGTCCTTTGACATTTTGTGGGGCGGCATCTTCATTATTACGGTCCACACACAGCCGGAAGAGGCAGAACGCGTCCTAGAGGCTACGCATCTGGCGCTTCAACAGCTCACGAGCATTCGACCTCTGTTACAGTCACAGCTTGATGGCGCAAAACAACAGGTACTCAGCCGTCACCTGCATGACCGCAAATACGCACGCTACTGGCTCGACCTCCTGGGAGGCCTACAACTAGCCGATGTAAGTTGACACCTAGAATTAACAGGAAATGGGTACAGCTTGCGCCAAACCGTATAACGGACGCGTCACTTTGCCAATCACAGTGCCGGTGTTCACATCTCCTTCTGGGAACTACAATTGTGTACGAATTATTTCCTTTCCAAGCTTTGCCATTGCCGGTGTTCACATATCCTGCTGAGAGCTACGATTTGTAGGCATTATTTCCTTTCCAAACTCTACACTAAACTCTAGCAGCTTGTTTTAGGTAAGCTCTTTTGACAGTTGCATCTGTTCAGGTTCCTCGTAAAACCCCTTCATACTTTTCGGAGCTTGAACGGGTTGTGAAAAGCATTACTATGCAAGACATTCACTTGCTCTTGCGATCGCTTGGTCTCCGTCGGGAGAGTATGTGGGAGGCCATCGGAGTCTCTGGTCCCGTTCCTCCAGCGGCTCTTTCTCGCCCACCCAACTGGATCGTAGAGGACCCTGTCGGTTCCCTTTCGAGCAGGCCGCTGCGCGCTTCGGAAAGTAGTCATGCTATCCCTCAGCGTACTTGAGCTAGGGTGGCTGGTTCCGCCAAATGCGTGTAGCACCAGTAGATATCGCGGTACGCAGTTGCGGAGGCACGTCTCGCGAATTATCTGTGCCTCGAGGTTTCTTCCGCAAGGCAGAGCCGTACAGTGTTCAACTGCGTCGCTAGTTTTTTATTCACAGCGCCCAGCTGTTGTAGTTGGCGGACCACCTGCCAGTAACCCCCAAGGCAGGGCAGGTCAGGCGTCTCAGACGCAAGCTGAAATGCGTTCGATTTTTCAAACTAGATTGTGGTCTTTTTCAGAATTGACCTTTGTTTGTGTACTTGTTGGGAAATAAATGCGTTGATCGTATACAAACAGCGCCATACACGAACCAGAGAGTCTGAACGAATGAGCGTCGATGTCTGCAGTTGCACTCCACGCTCAGTTATCGTTTGATGGATTGTAGGGCGAACAATTTGCTGAATTCTGTTCCTCCCAGTGTAGATGAACCGTGTTTTTAGACGGTTGGTGTAAATCGAACGTATTCTTGTTGGCCCTCCTTCCTGGAACATTCAGAATTAAGGGGCTCCAATCTGTCGCCAGCCAACTGATTCTGCAGTCACTGCGCAAATGATACCAGGTTGGGATGGCCAGAAACGAGTGATATTCAATTGCCGGTGCAAGACTTGCTATTCGTCAAGTGGTGTCCATCCCTTAGTTGTCAAATGACGGTAGCGGCATGCTCTCAATAACTGAAGCGGAAGGCAGCGGCTGTTCCCGGTATTCCGGTGTAACTTGAGTGGCGCCTCCGGTCTGAAGAGGGCGCCTAACCCAAGGGTAGGCAGCAGGGGGGCGGCCAACAGGCCCTGGCGTAGGATACGCGCCAGGAACGGCGACAACACCCGCTGCCTCCCCACCGGCAGGTGCCGCTCCCTGCTTAGCTGTTGTTCAGGCACATGTTAAAGTATTGGAACAGCAAGCATTGAAGATGAAAGACTGGTCTCACGAGGAGGTGTAAGCCCTGTTTGCAAGGCCCGAATGCTCTTTGGGATCACAACAGTGGCTCGCCACACAGCTCCCGTATGGTCTCCTAAAGGGTACCTCCAGAACTTCATCTATACAAACGTGGGTCTACTGCCTCGCCTGGAAGCCGCTCAACTTCAATTGGTGGAATTAGTTTGATTCCTTCTGGGACTGCCTGCAGCAGACTTCGAGCTGTATACCTAATGCTGAGGTGCATTTCTTGAATGGGACTCGCCTCGACAAGTCGGAAGTGCCAGTCTACTGGGGTTCCGTCGATGCTGATCTGCAGTTGGGCGTTCTTGGTACGTTGAAATCAGGTGATCTGGGATTAGGCGTGCCTTTATGACCTTGTTCGCAATCACTCTGACATCCAAAAGGCGTACATAGCTTATGCCTGTGTTCAATAATGTGTAAGCTTCAGCTTTACCGTGCTCCGAAGTCCTCCGCCGTCACGGTGAAAGGAGCATGGGGCAGCAGTACTGTGTACGATACAGCTATGGGAGGATACATCTTTGAATGCAAGCATGCCAATGCAAAAAAAGCGCTCCCTTGCCTTTCGGTGAAGAAACAACATGAACTTCCGCCTCGTGTACGGAATCATCGTCAACATCCAGCGGTGGAGGATAAGCTAATGCTCGCCCAGCAATGAGCAGAAGGAAGCTCGCTAGTGCAGCGGGCGCCTGTAACCTGGCAAAAAACCGCCTCGACGGGAACCACATTTATGTACAGCAAGCCAATAATTCCAGGAGATCCTCCCCTATGTTAAAAAAACAATAGTGGTATTTGCATGCTAAAAAGCATGCTGTTTCTTGAATGACTCACCTTTATTGAACACTCCAGCTCGCCACTTCAGGTGTATTGTTCAACCTGGCAACTTTGTATTTGTCTCAATTCCCGCAAACCCTCCACAAGCGGTGTACCATTCTCTACAGCTATGATTACAGTAAGTAGCAAGTTCAGTTCACCATCATGCAAGCTTCGCTACTGTACCATGAGGAAATCTGACTGAGTGAATGGTGAATGTGAGAAAGCAGAATGCATCAATGCTTCCTGTAGGCCTATGTTTGCCTGAAATCGAAAACATCACGCTTATTCCTAGAAACAGTGTGAAGAGTGTGCGTACACTTCTGTTTTGCCATAAACATTGCGCGATCCACGTTACAATCACCTATTTGGAAAGACGAAAGAAGAGGCGGAAAATTACACTGATGTTGGCATATTGACCATCAATGGGGCCAAATCCTGTGATATTCACATTCCACCGTCCCAGGCGAAAACTGTATAGTTCCAACACCCCAGTTTCAGCGGATGTGAGCTGCGCTCGTGCACGCCTGCGCGGGCTGGCGACGGCGGCTCCACGTTAAGGACAGGCGAATCAGGAACGACGAAAAATTGCTTAAGGAGCTTCAAGTGGCTGACTGCACGATCAACAGGGGACGTCTAGGGTAGTGAAGGTCAGCCTAAACTCGCTGCAGCTCGCACCTTCAAGCCCTCCTCCTCCAGGATGCCTGTGCACCTGAGTCCTCCACGGGCTTAAAAAGCAACATGAGCTTTAGAAAGTTCAATACAGCGCAATGGGCAGCTCGCCTGCGAAGTACGGACTTGTAGGTGGTAACCGGCCGGCGACCTGCCTTGCCAATGCTCCGCTTTGGTAGAGATGCAACAACGCGTCATGAGACCCAAGGCATACTCCATCCAAAAATAAAAGCGGACACCGGTTCTTCCTTCTGCGCCAGAAACACAAGCAAAATATGCAAGCATGCCAACTGCTGACTCAACAGGTACTTGGATCCCTTCCACTATATATCGAATATACTATGGTGAATATGGCCGGACATGCACAAAACAGTTGACTGCAAAGCATCCAACTCAGTGGTACTAGGGCGCATTGAAAACAACGCAACGCAAAACTACTAGCCCCAACAACTACACTGCAACCACCTTATCCTGCTGCTGCATTTCCTTCCCACCCGTGAGTGAGTGCGAATCCCAGGATCGCTGGGTGGGCTGTGACATCGATGGCCACAAGAGGGACAGCTTGGAGCTGCGTGAGCATTTTGACGACGTTCAAAGACAGAAGTGATTTAGGGCTATCTACAGTGCCCTCCAGAAACAACACAAGCTTGTTCTCCTTCAACACAGGCAGCAGTTGCGCGTCGACGGTCTCTTTGTCTGCCGTGTAGGCATCAATGCTGCGCTCCGATAGGTGCTGATATACTGGGTCATTCGCACCACAGTTGGCATCTACAATCTCTTCAAAGGAATTAAAGTGCCGCAAGTTGCTGCTACACGACCGGCCCCCTGGGACACTTGTGGAGGGTTCTTGGCTCCCTGTCCTAAGCAGTGGCGGGGCGCTCTCCGCAGCACGGGATACTCCTGCTGCAGTAGAAAGCCGAAAAATCACCTCTCTAGTGCAGGCGCTTGGCAAAAAGAAGGCCCGAGTTAGCCTGAACAAGTGAGCCATTTTGCGAGCCCACGCCCAGAGCCCCGGAAGGGCACAAGTGCTCTTCTGCGCGACCTTAAGATGACAAAACTATCTGAATAGCTCTGCTGTCTGTTAAAGAGATATTAATTTAAAAGGAAAGGAGGAAAGTTGTGCCTCACCAGCCGCCGACGCTGTCTCGATAAGCGCGCTGTCTTGCATGCGCGCGGAACTCAACTGCACACCTCAGGCCCCTGAAAAGCACTAGGGAGAAAAAAAACAGCTAGCACATTTACTTTTAAATTGAGCATGGGCGTATGAAACTATGCGAGACAAGCCGGAGCCTGTGATTCTTCCCCTTACCACCCCAGCATTTGCCGACTATGCCTTAGCTCCCAGAGATCATGCATATTCCAGCTTCGCGTTGTGTAGTGGGGAGTAGGCCTACTAGGACGTTATCGGATGCTTCTTCAAACTTCATGGGAAACTTCAAGTGTCGGTGGGAGTTTCAGAGGGTCTCCGTGTCTATCTATGCTCTGCAACAAAAAGAGCGCCATACTGCTAACACATTGCAGAGAACGGGCACCTCCACCGCATCTGTCTCTGTAAGACCAATAGGACACGATGATCCGTGGGGTGTTCGGTTCATCTGCCCTTGTGGAAGGTTTTCTCATGGATGCCGGGGGTTTGCGACAAAACGCCAAAGACTGGATGAGTACGATTCTTATGAAGTGACAATCGACCCGAAAAAGGTTCCCCATGACTTTTGTAGGGTGCCTATACATATGCAGTCCGCAGGGGAACTGAAAGACACCATTACGGTTGCCGGACGTATGCGCTTGTTCAATCCAAATTTCTGGCGGCGCTGCAGTTCAGCTGTAAGGGACCTTGCTGAAGGCTTCCGCTCGCGGGAAATAGTCGCTATCCTCAATGCCTATGCTAAGGCGGGGTACAGAGATGTTTCCTTATTTGGCCGTCTGGGACAGCTTCTTGCCTTGCAGGCGCACGACTGCCGAGCGTCAGACATGGGGGTCGCTCTACAGGCATTCGCGCGTCTCAACATTCCCAACAGTTCTCTCTTCGACCTGCTTGCTGTGCAGTGCATCCGGAAGGTCGACGAACTGGGTCCTCGGGGTATTGCAACTGTAGCTGCTGCCTACGGGGGCGTCAAACACCCCCATCCTCTACTCTTTGGCAGGCTGGCCCAGCAAATTGAGGCTCAGGTTGAGACCTTTTGCAACCTAGACCTCATCCAAGCGCTATGGGGGTGCGCACGTGTCTCGTACAGACACGCGAAGTTGCTGGACTGCTGTGCGGACCAGATCATGCATCGGTTGGCCACTTGTACAGTTACAGAAGCGCTAACAGCGGCAGAGTCATTTGCAGTTCTCAGCTTTTACAGAGCGGATTTAGTGGGGTCCCTTTCTTCATTTTTTAGGAGCAGAATATGCAACATCCCAGTACGCAGCCTTCCTTTACTTCTGCAGACCTTCGCTTCTTTCGACCAGCTCGCAAGTCTTAGCGCAGACCCTCGAGTGAAGCTGCTTCCAGTGCTGCATGTGGGTAACGCAGAGCCCCTGACGAACAGTGTTGCTTTGTACAGAGCAGCGCTTCCCGTCATAGCTCGGGCGGCCGTATGCTTTTCCCTGACGGAGTTGTCTGCGGTGGACTCGACACTTCGTTCAGTGGGCCTAAGCCACGACCTCCTGACTAGCGCGCTGCAGCAAGAGCTGCAGCAGCGGGTCCCTCATTGGACGCCGCAGGTGTGCGCAGAGATACTGCAGCAGGTGGCGTCTCGTGGGGGAGATGGGAACGACAAGGCCGCTGCTGCGGCTGTGCGGGCTCTCTTGGCATCCCCGGCAGTACTGGGATCTCTTCCTGAAACAACGGTTTTACAGATCCTGAAGGACCTCAAGGACTTGCGTTGTCATGGCGCCCTTGCTGTCGCTGCATCTTTCGTATATGGCGGTAGCGGTCTTGCTAATGGAGAGAGGCTGCTGGGTGGCGCGGAGCTACTGGTGGCGCAGCGCATCGTGTTGCAGTGCTTCCCCTCTACTGGTACAGTTTTCCACCACTTGCGGACGTGCAGAATACATTGCTGCACCTGGATGCACGAGTAGTAGTTTTGGATGAGGTTCGGTATTATTCATAGTAGTATTTGGATGCGTGGCCGCAGAGTCGTTCGTCGATGGATACCGGGAGGGTTTTCTCTCAGAAGCCTTCAATCGCCCTGAGAGCACCAGAGGTTCTGAAGGGGGATCAGTTGCGTGTCTGGAACCTTCTTTCGAACAAGGATGTATAACTACTGCTTTATCAGAAAAGGCGCGCATGCTATATGCCTCGATATCATCCACTGCAGAAGCTGTAGGAGCCAACGCACTGGTACTGGCAATCTGCCGCTACCGTTCGGACCCTGGCGTTTGCTTGTGGTTGGACTTGCTAATGAAGGGACTCGTCACAGGTCAGTTTTACAAGGGGAAGGGAATGTAGGAAGTGCTAGGGCATATGATGCTGGAATGCGTTAGGGAAGAGATGCGGCCAGTTCCTGATAGATGCTTGCTCAACTTAATCTGCGGAGAGGCTGCAATTGCTGTGCGTTGCGTTATCCAGAGGTGGATCCCGAATTGTTGCCGGCACTTCTGAGGGAGCTGGCGCGAATGAAGAAGGAACGAGCGGCTGCAGAGGAAGAGGATTACTTTGTAAGATACGGCCTTCTGCAGTATCCATGAATCTGGGTTGATGGAGTAGAGATAACTTAAGACATTAAGGCCTAATTGCGGATGCAGTGCTTTCGCAGGTGGCGCCAGACAGTTGTTACGCTGCAACATCACAGGCAGAAAAACGTCTGCCACAAATGTTGTCATCTGCACAACTTTCGCGTCGTTTCTGTCGCGTCGCCCGCTATCTCATGGAGTCGCCGTTACCTGGAGCTGCAGCACATAGCATGCAGCAAGCTCCCACATCTTCACAGTGTGCGGCTACCCATGAGGGATTTCTCTATGGACGTCTCTCGGTGGTTGCAGCAGGTAGCGCGGCACAGGTCTTGCGCAGCCATCCCAAGCCTGAAGTGGCGCAGCGCTATGTAGAGCAACTCTGTGACATTGTCTGCTCAAGGCTGCAGCGGGTGCGCTGAAACTGCCTAAACTGTTGCTAGCTCCCCTGCAGGGCCTATTGGTATACTGTATACGATTTTAGAATCCGAAGTAGTATAATGCAGAGAGTACTTGCCTTCTGAACACTGGGATAACAGGCGGCATGGAAGCGGGTAGAAAATGGTGCCTTCATTTTGAAGGGCTGTGCCTGGGGCATTCTGGAAGTACCCGGAGGTTGTTGGTTTGCGGCTTGCAGGCTCAGACCCCGGCAGCAGCAGGCTACTCTGGGGCAGCTTGTAGTGCGCATCTCGAGTGGCAAGTGGGAAAATCTCTGGCCCGGCTATTGCAATCCCTTGTGGCTCTCCGAGCAGATGTGCCACCAGCGCTGGTGCAGTAAGGCAACCTTTCCTACCCGGAGATTATTCTGCTTCACTATTGCGTGATCTCTGAAGAGTAGACTATTAACTTGTTGACATTTGTACTTTTATGGATCAACCGCTTGCTGCTACTGTGCCCTTCAGGCAGTTGGCACCCCGATTGCAGTGGCTTGAGGGGCGAGATGTATTGGCTGCCCTGCGGCTCCTTCCCACACCTACTGAAGCATCCCTGCGTCAGCAAATCACGCGTGCTGTGGACCTCCGTTTCCGGGATCTCAAGAGCTGGAGGATGTTGGGCGAGCTGCGAGTGAGTCCCGTGTTTGGCCAAACCATGTACTACTTTGGGCTGGTGCATGGGCAAATTGGCTATTTTTAGGCTTGCCTCCCTCGACAATGCCCAACGTTCAACGAGTGTCTGTTAAGAAAGATGACGTGAGGACGACTGGATGCGGTGAAGCAACAACTGGTGTTTGGGGGTATGCACTGTAAAAATATGTGATGCTCTTTTACGGATTGTTGGCGTATGCAGGACCTCTGCGCGGATCTAAAGCTGGAGGTAGACGATGACGTTGCTGAGCTCGACGTGGATGTTTCGCGGTACCAGGAGGAGGATGACGGCGAGGTAAATATTCCTTTATGTAGCTGTGTGGAGCATACGCATGTAACTTCTCTAGCGGGGCGTTACAGAGTGTCCTAGTTACAGTGTTGGTAATGTGTGTTGACAGGAAGGAATTCCAACAATAGGCGACGCAGTCTGCAACCCAGAAGAGGACCACTTCTCTGCAGAACGCAGCAATCTCGCCCGTCACGACGCGGAAGCGTGGAAGTAGAAAAGTCATACCGAGAGTTGGGAAGGGCAGGTGCACACAAATCACGTGGATCTCGACTTGCAATATACATGCTTTTTCGGTGTTTAGACAGAATCCACCCTGCAGCGTTTTAGGCGGAGGTATTCACTAGTAAAGATTAATTAGTGTATACCGTATCAACCATTATGCCATTTGGTATTGCCCGTAGTTCCAGAGAGGCAATTCAAATTACTTGGAGCTCCTCAGGCCTCCAGCATTGTGGGAAGACTAGCGTACTATGAATGAATGCCTGTTGCAGTCAGCAACGAAGAACGTGACCAATGAATGGCTTATTGTTTTGGGTTGCATGGTTCATCATGATTACCTACTCTTTGGCGCTTAGAGGACCTGTGCGGCAGTGTTCCCGCGGTCCTTCTAGGCAATACAGGATCATTTTTCAGTTGTATTGGGACTCTATTAAGCAATTACGCGTAGTATATACGGATGCCCTTCACTTAGGAAGTGTTCCAATGGCAATCGTTGGTTATATGATGCACGGCAGACTAACGCCTGAACAATAAGGGAACATGCTCTATCTATTCATCCCCAGAAGAAGCATGGGTTGGAATTTCCCAGCCTCAGTATTGTGGTTCCCATGCAGCTCACAACAGTTGACATAAGATCCTGTACCCGTCTTACACTTGGTAGCGTTGCATGGTTCACGGGGTGCATGTGCAAACAACGGACCTCATCTGCACAGCACGGCGGGCTGCTGCCTGCATAGCCCTAAATAGAACCAATGGTGTGAGAAGTACACATATATACTAAAAGGTTCTTTTCGATGTCTACTAGTTGCTTTGCTATAAATATCAGCCTTTTGCTTCAGTAACAGAGCAGTAGGAATGATGCTCTCTTAGCCAGACAACAATCCAAAAAGGCGCACATATCTTCCATTTTCTCCAGTAGATTGGTTAAAGAAGCAATTTGGCGCTATATACAGTATTCTCAGCGAAAGGCAAGGAAGGCCACTCCAAGAAGCCCGGGAAGGCCAGCCAGACAAATCAGGATTGCGGTTTCCGTTTGGTTGTGTTGGCAGATATATGAAGAACGGCCTTTTCTTAAAGACTGCAGGTGAAGGTGCCCCTGCATATACGGCTACTACATTTGGAGTGCCTCTGCGCAGGAATCCTTGATTTAGACGTCTGCTGGAGGAAAGTAAAATTCGCATTCTAGGTTGCCATTTCCAGCTCGCCGTGCATAAAGGCAAGGAAACCAGCAAGTTCACTGGCAATATATCTACCAAGTTTGGTAGGGCGATTGTGAAAAGCAAGACAGGAAGATGTCGCCGTCAACCCTACTATCCTGCCTCCTGTCTTTACTGTGTCTGGTGCTACCCTCAAAGTGGCACTCTGATAGAGACAAGGAAGAATTATAACTTGCAGGGCCTTTAGATTTCACTAGGGTCGTGGCAGACTTGGGAAGCTTCTGGTTCACCCCTCAATATCGTACGGTTGCCTTTTCGGTGGATGTAGGATTATTCTGCCTCATAGTGTCATCCTAACTCCAGTTATTATATCACATTATAGCTGTGCATTATTGTTTATTTTTACATTTATTATTTAACAGTGTTTCAGGCGCTGCTCTGTACAGCCGTGCGCAATCCATGCGTGCCGTTGGTAGGCCCTCGACAAACAGAACAAATTGCTATTGCTATAATTCTTGGCGACAACACACAAGGCATCACCAAACGTACCAACTTTAGTTTCAATAAATTGGGGAATTTGTATTCAAGAGGAATGAGGGAGCACTGGTCATCTCCACATTCGGAGGCGGCGCATGCATTGAAGCTCCGCATCCTCGTGCACTGCAGATTTGTGCCCGCCCTAGAACACTCGGGGTGCAGTTTACATGAAGGTCAGTGTCCACATCTACACTGAAATCACAAAGCTTCTGTTTTGACTCCTATAGTAAATTCCATAATAAGCCTGTCTGAGTTGCGAAATGTTTCTGTTGCCCCTTTTGTTCGCTGCCGCCCTGGCATTTCTACCGGATGCGACCGACAGTGCTCACGCACCGGCTACTCCTACACCCAGCTCTGAGAATGCTTTTCAACGCAGTAAAGTTCTCATGTTTGGTCACAATGCGTTCACACCAAAGCATAAGGGGGACTCCACGAGATCATCGCTCCTTCTGGTTGCCCCGGCGGTCGCCGTAGCCGCTATGGTATTTTTGATTCTTCATTGCCTAAGGGTTCTCCAATCCGGCATAAATTCGAGAAGAAATGAAGCTAATAAGCGAAAGCTTGCTGACAGAAGTCCAAACGCTTGTACAGTGTGTCTTGGTGTGCAGCAACAGGACCTTGATCCCATCCTTGCTGCGCAACAGACTAGGCGTCGAACTTGTAGGCTCATGAGAGTTCCTGCCGCTTTTATATTCAATGAAACCATTTTTCTGGGTTGTCAATACATATGAATCAAATGTAGATGGCCGAAGACGTTTGCCGGCGACCCTTCAAACGTGCGGATGATCAATCACTCAACTCGTCTGTTTCTTCTCGGGTGCTAGGGCTTTCCGCAAGGATAATTGGTCTTGCAAGCTCTCAGTTGTGGTTTCACAACGGTGTTCCACATCAATTCATCTGGGTAGGACTGAGGATATCTGTATTCAGCCTGTCCAGTGTTGTTCTGGTGCAGGGATGATTAGATGGATGAAAATGAACTACCCAGGTCCCCCGACTGTCGGATTAGAGGCTTTTACACCGGAAAAACCTGGATGATGTAGGCTGAGAGTTTTCGAGGCGGTTTGGGGAAGCTAGAATAATGAATACTGCAAGTAATGAGACTTTGGCGCGGAGAACCTGCTGACAGAACACGTACAAAGCATTAAAAATGAGGTCAATAATAGCCTGGGGCATATCATGAATACAAACGATTTGGGGCTAGGCATACCATATATATGGCACTTGGAGGTAATCTGCAAAGATCGGTTCTTTGTTGAAAACAGTGTTAATTGTGGCTTAGCTACACGACAAAGTTCTTCATGGGGCTGAGTTTCGTTTTGGTTTTGTACAAGACAACAGGCATGTTATAGTTGGCAATAAGCTCACTGTGTATGCTATTAATTGGTACTGAATGGAATTTGTCTGGGAAAACATTTCACATTCCAAACAAAAGAAGATTCGGGAACAGTGCATTTGTTGAGCAAAATACGCTGCAGATAGTAGGTTCAATATCATGGCCATGCCGTCTAGCTGCCCCAACCTGAGCATACGAGGCGAGATAGCACAGACTAACAGCAAACAATAGTGTCACTTTCGTGTTTGCTTTAGCAATTACCTAAGCCGTCGCATTGCAGTGCCTCCAATTGTGAAGCATCTCCACCTGCTCTGTCATCACTAAACGGCAACAACAAATGCAGTAACACGCTTTGATAAATCGATAAGACCGTGAGATGCCGCGTTGCCCATGCGCTGATTCGGTGCCAGCCACCCGCTCGGGCGCGTTGATCCTTGTACAAAAATAACAAGGTGGAGTGCCGAGTAGGTGCAGCGATGTGAAGTTGAACCGGCAACATTGTACTGTGAACAAATCTAGGCCTATGCCCTTAAGTTTGAGTGATGGAAGGTACAACTAGAAATGCATGCAGGCGAGAGCTTGTGCAGTACACCAGCCACGCCAAGCCTGCGGCTGTGGCTCTCGTGTACAGCTCGGGTGCTGATATCCGCTGTTCACAGTTATGCAGTGTTATTGCAATGCATTGGAAGAATGTGGCTTCAAACTTCTGTAGCCTTGGCTTTCCCAACGACTGGTGATATCAGGTGGTGAGCAAGCATTCTGAGTTTAGAGATGCTGGGATGCGTGGTT